ATCTAAAGCTTTAAACTGATTGAGTTGCACTAATGCAGTCCAGAGAAACCATTTTTGCTGACTGGTTATGGTTTGTGTTCAACACAGAAGGCAAAAATCTCATCAACAAAATATGACCTCTGTTACATTTAATTCCAATGTCTTGTATTTGTTGAAGTTGGTGATAAAAAATGTTGTAGCTGCTTTCCGTATTTCCTTAGACCTTCAGTGCCAGTGCATTCAAAGATCAGAAAAACTGTGTTTCTTTTCATACACTACATTTAAGTCCAGCCTATCAGTTCAAACTCATTGGAGGTAGCTTAGTAGATGTGGCATCTGCTTTAGTCTCCTGGACTGTGGTGGGTTAGCCCTGGCTAACAGCCATAACTCCCATCTAGCTCCAGAACCTTCATCATCTCAAGCAGAATGTGCAGTTGGAAAGTCTGTGTGCAAATGCATGTGTTTATAGGTATGCCTGTAGTAGGAAATGCATGATGTATACGCAGCAAGACAAAAATTTTGAGCCCTCCTCCTCCCCTTGCAAAGACTACTTTTTCTGATGTTACTTCTTTCATTGCTGAGATCATCCATGCCATAAAGATAGCTAATAGCGTGGAATTAACATTCTTAACATGGTGCTCACCTGATGTTCTGTGTTTTTTTAAAGAGATTGCCATTTCAGCGTTGAACGGAAGTTGTTGATATGGTATTTTTCAGATACAGAGATAACATGATGTAACTGGGCACTGAGATGAGAGCTTATATTGGATAAAATAAATCACCACTAGTGTCAGCTCCTTTGTACTATTTTCTGTTCCAAATGTGGCAGTTTTATTTGTATTTATGCAATTGAATGCTGTAGTTGCATTTTTGTCCATTTGTTTTAATACTGTTTAGAATAGAAATCTGAAGTAAATTTTATTTGAATACAGTTGTAACTGTTGATTTTTCAGTAGACCTCCAAGAGACAGCAGATATCCCCAGAATGTAAACTCAAAGGAGGGAGGAAGGGAGAATACGATTGTATTGGGGGTTTTGTTTTGTTTTTGTTACGGGTGTTTACAGTTAGTTTCAGTTCATTATAGTACCTCTCCAGCTAGTGAAGCAGAACAGCTGTGGTTTATCCAGAGTCTTTCTAAATTATTAAGCTGCTGTTATGAAAACGTTTCTGATGAGGTGAGTTTTGAAACATTACTGAATAGAAAAATTGCACCAATTCTGCTAGAGATACCATTTGCTCATCATTATCTTAGAAATGTTTGTTATAAACTTGTGTTTTCCCAAGCATGCTTAACCCATCTTGCCATAGTGTGCATTGATTTCCAGGTGGAATAATAGTCAGTGATGTGAATTACTGGAGCTCAGTGTTCCTGTTGTTTGGGCAGGGGGGGAGTGATAAGAGGAGGTAGAAGGAAAACAGGAAAATATGATTGCAAAATGATGCTCTGTGAGTCAGTTTTGCTTCGAAAATGAATGCAGTGATCTGTTTCTCACCCAGGCTGTCATTTCTCTCATTCAGCAGTGAACAGATTCTCCCCACCTCATAATAAGGATTTCAAAACTGATTATGTTACAGGCTTCTTCAGAGATTAATTGAAATAATCTTCTACTTGTCACTTCTGTGAGGATGTCGTGTATGCAAAGGTGTGGCTGTTCATTTATTTGTGTAGAGGGAGGGGCATAGAAAGGAGATCTCCAAACTGTTACAGAAAATAGAGGGAGCTCAATCTAAAAAGTTGGAGAACTTTTGTTTTCAGTAGAAAGAGCAGGTGGCTCTTGTTGCGGGGAGCTGACTTATATTAGGTCCAAAGAGTCTCCCCAGCCATCTTAATGGGCAGTCACAAAAGCCACACTGCATAGGAACACTCGACCTTATTATAATGGCCTTAATTTAGAAAAGCTCTTTAACAGCTGATGAAATCTGTCAGTGCAGCATTAAGAATTTTATAATATACAAAAACTTGGAAGAAATGGAAAAACTTAGTGATTGCCGTAATCAAACCTTTTAGGTCTTAAGCTGTAGTGAAACACTTCACTGAAGTGAAATTTTCACTTAGGAAAGTGGCTACCAGTAAAGAGTTAAAGAAAAAGAATGTCATGCATGTGCGTGTGATTCTAAATCCAGAAGTGTTACATTTCCTTTGTTGGCATTAGTTTCTGCTGAATATACAGGATATATATGGTGAAGACTAAACCCTTCTGTTATTGGTCTGAAGTGTTTTAACAGAAGTGTGGCATGCTTGGTTGAAAAGACTGGAAGTTTTAACAGATGAAAGCATATACATTTTGTTCTTACTGGGTATTTTTCTTCTTACCCCTTTGAGTTTTATTGACCAGCTTCATTAACATAAATTATATCTGCAATTAGACTTTAACAAACTGTAGTATGTAGAGTAGTGGTACATGATAGAATTCTGTCTGGAGTGCTTGCAGCAAAAGTGGTGGGGGGGAAAGTGGCTGGGAAACTGTTGAAAGGTGCCATCTTTCTGCTCTCATGTGTTAGCAATTCTCTACTTGCTGCTGCTGTGAGAGATGGAATCTAATGTCGTAAGAGGTGTAGACTGAATATTGAATATTCAGAGAAATGCAAGCGTAATGAGATATTTCTGCTGCAATTACTTTATTCTTCCTGTGCTTTTTGAGATCCTCCCCATCCTCGACCCAGCTATTCAACAGCCAACTCCTTTAGTGGCTATGCTGAAATTTACCCTTTCCCCTTGCAGCTGTGGTGAGTCTCAGGGGATTAATGCTTCATGGGAGGGCTTGTGCTGGCTTTCTCCAGAGGTAATCAATAAAAAGAGGTGTTTAGGAGAGCTTGTGTTTCTTGAAGTCACCTACAAGGCCCTTTGCTTGAGGGAAGCAGATGGGGCATCTGCTCTGCCATTTGTTCCTTTCCAGTTAACAGTTCTGTACTGCTCCCCATAGAGCCTGTGAAAAGAAAAGGTGTGGCTTGACCAGTCTCAGCCAGGAAATTAGGAGAAAGCTTTGTTTAGAATATGTGACAATAAATATTTTCAGTTGTCATTGTTCACAGCCCTGCTTATCTCTATGGGGAGATACTAACTCAATGAGGTTAATGCAGAATTGTCACATCCTTTTTTCTTCCTCTCTTCCCCAGCCGCCCTAAAGTTTACAGTGCTAATGCAACGTTTTCTCCTTGTTTTTTCAATTTTCATTCCCACTTTCTTTGTAATTAAGGGCAATTACTTCATAATACAACTAAGATGTATACTAACAATAACACACATATCTTCTATGTGTTGTAAAAACGTAAAGAGACAAAGTAGGAGAAGATGATAGATCTTTATCTGGAATACTAGGTATATATAATGGATTTGATAGAATGGCAAACCAGATTGCTGGAAAAACAAGGGCAGATTTGACCATAATTGAAACAGCCATTATTTGCACTGTCTATTTTTTGAAGAATAGTTGTTTGAACATTTGACAGCTGTAATATTGCCTTATATAGGTATTGTTCATATTATTTAGTACAGGCTGTCTATTTTGTTGGTATATGTAGACTACAACTCTGTTTTGACAGGAGCATTGAGTAGCTATACACTGGTGATACATAATTCTGTTTCTGTTGGCCTTTCTCTTTTAAGTGAAATTGAATCTTTATTGCTCTTCTTACTTACACACTCCATTTTTGTCAACTGTGAGACAAAATTGAAGGCTTTTTTGCTGTAGCAGATCAACCTTGAAAACTTTATAAATGGATTTTAATTTTGCTTGTAAGAGGTCTTACTAATAAAAAGCTTATGCTATAGTTAGAAAAAGGAATGTGAAGTATGTGGCCTGTGTTTTGATCTCTATTTTGTCCTTAATTGGGAAATTGCTTCCCTGTTTTTCAGTTTGACGATTAAGGACCAAGATGGCAGTGCTTTCCTGTCACTGTAAAAAGCTGGGATAGCTGGGTAAAAGGTCTCATGACATTACAGCAACTTCTGTATCTAGCATATACTGGATTCCTACTACAGAGAATATGGGATGCTTTGGCCAGTAGTGTCTTGAGTTGAACAATCCAAACGTTGGTGTTTGCTCCATGAAAAGCCAAATTGGATCTAGTAGGATTTACTAGCAGAAGCTCAGCACCATGTGCACACAGCGATGGTGTTTGTGGGGCCAACTTGTATCTGCAGTCAGGTTAATGGCTTTTGTGCAGCAAAGAAACTGAGGTAGCCCTTGTGTCTGCATCTGTGGCATGGTTAACCCACACCATAGCAAGCCATTCAACTATAATTGAGAGTTGACTGAGCTTGCTTTTTATAAAACTCAGTAGTTAAAATTTTGAACTTACTGTTAGAATTAATTCAAATAAGATCCTTTTGTATTTAGATTTCACTTTGTCACCTCTTACTCTTTTATTTTTTCCACTTAAAGTAAAACTCATCATGCCTTCCTAATCTTGCATCCAAGGTGGATCAAACTCTTGCAACAAATCTAACATCATGCATCAAAAAGTTGGCCTCATTCTCTGCTGTTGCCAACAGCAACTGTTTGACTCATTGTCATTGCCAAATCAAGCCAACACACAGAAATTGATCTGATTTCCACCATTAATGCATCTCTTCAGATCATCCTTTTCTGTTGTTAACACTAAAAAGGCAAACAGATGTTTATCCTGAAGAGATTGGTAATTACTCAAATAATGTGTGTAAGCACCCTTTGAATAAGGTAGGTGTATGAACAGCCTCTGAAAACAAGACTTCTTGTGAGAGAGTTACATACATTACTCCTGTCAGAAGCATGACATGCACAGATGTGTTGGAAAATTGAATTTTGTCTGTCTTAAGGGCTACAACAGCTTAGCTTTCACATTGCAAAGAATGTTTTCACGGCCTTTAAGGATTGGAACCCCCTCACCCCTTCCATTAATGAAAGTGTAAGTTCTGCAAAAATAGCAGAGACCACCTAAGAAGAAATTAAGATCAGGTATATCAGTAACTACTGGTTTAACCTATTCATTCAGATTATTTTCTTGAAGGATCTGATGAGTTATTCTTTTATGTTTACAGGTCTAATTACAACCACATCTAGAAAACTAGATCGAGAGCAGCAGGGAGAGCACATACTGGAGGTAAATAATTTCTTTAGTTCTCTGAAAAACAATGACTATAAGTTCATTGCTCTTTTACAGAGAGTTAAGTTTACCATACTTAATTACTGTATGAAGAATTTAGAGAACTGGATTTCAGAAGTAATTTGCTTCTATGTTCATTATATTGCAATGCACAAAACTACCTATCTTACGAAACCAGTGTGTTGGGACTGTGTCTTAAAAAAGAGTTAAGGTACAGATAGAAGGCAATTTTTTGTTTTTATATCTGTAAACCAAGATTTTCTTCCAAACAATACAAAGGCATGATTGTTAAAAGGAGGAGTGTGGTTCTTCCGCTCCCCCCCCCGCCCCATAATTATTGGAATAGTTGTTTGAGCCTGCCTTTTGCTGAATATAGACCTCTGAAAAAGCAACGTAGGATCTTTTATTAACATTGAGAATACAAATGGATTGTGAGTACACCTTTTTTCTGTATAACTTATTTATCAATCACATAAGTAGATGATTTGCAAAATATACATTATAGATTTGGAGTCCAAGAGGATGAAATTCATGACATAATTCTTTTATTTAGCTATATTTAATTAATCACCTGGAATTTATGTAATAGCTATTCTCATTCTCTGTCAAACAGCATGAAAGAAAAACATGTAGAGTCCTCCAGTTTCACAGTGTTGTCATGCAGTGTGACAGCATTGTCTTTCACCTGCAATGACAACTTAATATTCACAGTGATACTACATACTAAGATTTATCTGGAACCTTTATTGTGCCTCTCCTCCTGGATGTTAGATAAAGAACTGCATGTGAGCCAGCAAAAGCTAGAGAAGCAAGTCTGGACTTCCTCAAAACTTGTGAAATCTGTAGAAAGGTTTTCTAGTAGGAGTGAAAGGACTGCATAGACTTGGAGGTGGACGGTATTCCTTGATAGCACAAGCTATCCTTTTGCAGAACTTCAGTGTACATATGGTCTTCCTGGCCCTTTTCTATCCCTTTGGTGCATTGCAAGCTGGATTAATGGAGTTGTTGGACCAAATTTTTATCATTATTTTCATTTCTGCGTCAGCTTTGGAAAGAACTCTTTGCACATAAGTAGCAATAGGGTAGAATTTCATCTGCAGTGTGTTTCTGGTAGTAGTAATAGCAAAGTTAATTAATAGGCAAATCTGGTTCAGTACTAGACACATTATTCCTGTAAATTGTAAAGTCACTATATTATTCTCTTTTTAAATTACCTTTTTAAATCTGCCTGTGTCAGTTTTCCAAGGCACTTCATGTCAGTTATTTCTCAACCACTGCTATGTATATTGGTTGTAAAATTGGTATCTCATGACTTTTACTCCTACACATATTGTGCTGGCTTTTGTATTAGATTTATACAGTAAATAAAACGAGCTGTGGATTGTTCTCTGACCCTGAAGCCACCTGGCACAGTAAGGCTTTGATTGCTTATACCTTATCCCTGGAACAGGGTGGCCATGTCCAAGTTGCCTGAATTGTGTGAATTCTCAGGCTGCAGCTAGGCAATGTGTGGGAGTGTGCTACTTGTTCTGGGCCAAAACTTCTGCCAGAGGTCACACTAGCAGTGTAATGTTATGGGCAGTTGTGTGCTAGCAGTCATGCCTGCTAACTTAACCTAAGTTATTACAAGATAACATGTACAGAACTCGGAAAGTTTTTTTTAAGCCTACAGTATCACACAATGGGACGTAAATCCTCCTGTTTTCAGCATTCTCTATAAAGATAGCACACTAAGCTGATTGCTCTTTCGTTTGGAATATCGGTTATTGCCTGCTGGTATCATTTATAATTCTTCATTCTTTCTTCATTTTGAATCCTAGCTGGTTGTCAAAGTTTTAAATAAAAGTCTGTGAAGTATTCAACAGAAAAACTCTTAGCTATAGAGCAAGAATGACAGACAGCACGGGCCAAAGTAGCAGTTTTCCCATTTGTTAGTTTTATGTTGACACCTTTGAAAATAGGTTGGAAGGAAACCCAGAAATGCACAGAATGGTGGGCAATATTATGAGCCAAGTGCTGAGCATCTGGCTAATTAATTGAGCATTGAAATGTTGACCAGATGGGTTGGTGGGTTCATTCCTTGTTTGCTATTAAATTTGATCCTTGATTGCACTCCTGCTTACATAATAGTAATTAATATGCCCCATTCTTTTCTTCCCAACTTGTGACTATTTTCTGAGTGCCAAATGGCACTTTTTTATGCAATTATTTTAGGTTAGCTTCACGTTATTCTCTTGTATCTTAGTATTCTGTTTGTTATGTCAGTAATGCCTTCAAAACTGATGTTGCCTTCAAATTAAGCTTGATTTTCCTCAAATTTGCCATTTTTTTCTGCTTGGCTCAGGGCAATGCCAATTTTATGCTAACCAACAAGTTATTCTGTACCCCCTGGAATTTCCTCTTTGGGATGTCTTTTGTTTTGAGGTTGGTTTTTTTGTGAACTGAAAGATACGTGGTGGTGTTCCATTACAAGTACTAAAAGGAACAGATATTTATATATGTGGAAATCCTACCATCTGTTAGAGATGAGCATCAATATTTGCATTTCATATTGCATTTCATGTTCTTGTGGTTAATCACTTTACTCACACTTTTTCATTTCCTTCGTCTTGCAAGTTATACCATGTTTCATTTGTACTTCCATATTTTTTTCCTAAAACAGATGAGAAAGGGCAAAAAAAAAAGCATATCTGATCATATCCTCATCCATGTCAATGTAAATTCATTTTTTCATCAGGGCTTCAATTCTAGTCTTCCATTAGTATTCTTTTCATTATTTTCTATTCATGTTATCCTTCAATCCTTATGTTTTTCCATAGTCATGTTTTCCAGGGCATCCTAAGAATCGGTGAAGGAATTTACCACCCACATTCTTGAAGAAAAACACTTGTTCTCCCCAAATTGGGGTGGGCTTGTTGGAACTGGAATATTGTATATCATTGCTGTGTAGGGTTTTTTGTTTGGGTTAAGGGGAGTTGTTTTTGTTTAACACCCTCCACAGCACTGATCTTACAATCATAGAATCATTTAGGTTGGAAAAGACCTTTAAGATCATCAAGTCCAACCACGTATCTTCCCTATAATGTTTTTTTTCCCAGTGCTGCTGTAGTGACTGACTTCTGTACGGAGCTTCATCCCAGCAAAGACTTGCATTTTCCTTGCAAACTCAAAACAAAAATGAAATGGCAGTGTGTAACGCATTTCCCACACAATTTGTTAGAAACATTGGGTGTTTGGTCTTTGTTGTTTTTTTTTATTTTTTTGGCATTCCTCTACAGATTTGACAAGTATCTGGCAGAATTAGATGAGCATATCTCAGTTTACCAATTTCCTCTAGTTACAGCAGAGCTGGCATAGGTGACCATCAGACCCTGTGCAGTTTCTGTGTAAAAATAAGGAAGGTGAATTAAGTCAAGGAAGGTGATTTTAAAGGAGGAAAAAAGAAAACGAAGGGGAGACCATAGAAAGGCTGAGCCAGAGTGCTGCACCAGTTCATAAAATTGTTCTTAAAATGAGAGACAACGATAAAAATTCTACAGCTAAATCCAAAAACAACGCAACAGCAAAGGGAAAGTAAGGAAAAGAACATGATAGATTGACAAAGAAAAAAATGTCTTTACCTTGTGTCTTTAATGCCAATTTTTTGGAAAACATCACCCTCAGGAACTGAGATTTAGCCAAACTGCTAGAGGTCAGGTAATACTGTTATCAGTGAAAAAATTGTATTTGTTTTAAATGCTTTATGTAAAAGCAGCTAAACTCTCCCCTGAAAACGCCTGGCGTCTGTCTGAGCCCAGTAGCTTTTATGTGGATGGCAGGGTGCAGCCAGAAAATGATGGGGCTCTTCTAACAGGAAGCAGGAATATAACCTCCCTATCATTTTCTTCTTTGAAATAGATGCTAAAGTAATTTACATATGCTCGTACTTAACCCCTTATTAACCAATAAGGCATTAAACAGGTAAGGTTTAAGGTAATAAGGTAAGATTCCTATAAATGAACTAAGTTTTCCATCAGTTTGTTCCTTTTCCAGTAAATAAGGATTTTTTTTTCTGTTTTCTGACTTCAAATGATCATAATTCTTACTTTTATTACATTTTGTTCACTAGCCATGCCAATAACATCAGATCAGTCCTAGAATTAATATTGCAGAAGATTTCATACTCATTTCCTGGCTTTTTAGTAGAAATTGTGACTATTGCTGGAAGAGCAGACTGGGTGTAATTTCCCATTTAATTTAGTCCATGGAAATAGATTGTTGTGTGTCTTCCTTAAAAAGCAATTTTTTAAGCTTCTTCAAACAAGATAGTGGTTTTATGTTTTAAAATAAAGGGGATTTTTAGTGCATAGGCCTGTCAAATTCTGAAACTTATATTCTTATGAATTGCATCTTTTAAGGTGTGAAAATAAAATTACGAAATTGAAAAGTTGCAAGGAAACACTAGGCTGAAAATATATTAAGATATTATCACAGTGAAGCTGTTATCAGAGATACTATACTGGTTCCTGTACTCAAGTTAATATTCCAGTTACGATGCTGCAAAATAGTGAAATAGATTTAATACATATCTATCAATTCCTACATGCCATACATACATCAAGCATCAAAATGTTAAGATAGTAGCTGAATAAACTTTTGTAGTGCCTTTTGTAAATATTCACCAAATAGTTTTACACAATGGGCTTTAAGTAGCTGAAGTTAGGGAATTAGTTTGCAGTTGGGGGAAAATCTGGTTTAGAAAGAGCATTGTTGGAGAGAGTGTGTTTGAATTGAGCGCTAACCATATCCTCTTTAATAAAAACAGGTAACGGTAACAGACAATGGTATACCTGCAAAATCATCAGTTGCACGGGTGATTGTGAAGGTCTTAGATGAGAATGACAACAAGCCTCAGTTCTTGCAAAAGTTCTACAAAATCCAGCTTCCAGAGCGTGGTAAGCCGGAACGAGAGAGAACTGCTAGGAGAGAGCCGATCTATCGAGTTATTGCTGCAGATAAAGATGAAGGCCCCAATGCAGAGATCTCTTACAGCATTGAAGATGGTGATGAACATGGCAAATTCTTTATAGAACCGAAAACTGGAGTGGTTTCATCAAAGAAGTTTTCTGCAGCAAAGGACTATGATATCCTCTCAGTGAGTCAAAATCTTGTAATCATGAATACATGAAGTGTTCTTTTATCTGTATTCTCATCACTTCTTATTCAGTAGCTGGCAGGTGAGTGACTGCAGTATCTGAAGGAAGAAAGCTTCAACAAAGCCAGAAGTATTGTTTTGTGGGTTTGCTTGTTTTGTGTTGTTTGGTTTTTTTAAAAAGATGATTTCAGATGTTTTTATTGAGAAAGTGATTCAAGCTGCTGCTGTTCTTTTCTAGTACTTGACAGATAATGAACAGGATGAGGGAACATAAGCAATCAGTTTGACTCTCTTTCAGGAAGAAAACAAAATAAAAGTGAATTTATGGTAACAGTTTGTGCTACTATCAGGTGCTGCATACTTTTTCTCCATTTGCTGCCCAGATAATGAAGGGCAAGTGGCACTTTGAGAGACACTTAACCTTTCTGGATATATCTCACACAAGCAAACGTGCTTGGAGCTTATTACTACTTTTCCATTTATGTGACATAATGATTTATGTGATCCTGTAGCCTAAAAGATGTGTCTGTTTCACAGATTAAAGCTGTAGATAATGGTCGTCCACAAAAATCATCAACTACACGTCTTCACATAGAATGGATTCCAAAGCCTGTCCCACCCACAGAGCCCATTTATTTTGAGGAAGCATTTTTTTCTTTTACGGTGATGGAAAGTGACCCAGTTGCTCACATGATTGGCGTAATAGCTGTTGAACCTCTTGGAACCCAGATTTGGTTTGACATAACGGGTAAGGATGCCTTAAGGGCTTTTATTATTAGAAGCAAATGTGTGGAGTCTGAGATACTGGAGGGCTCATTGCAGTTTGGTTTCTTAATCACTCTTCTAAATAATGCAAGGTTTTGGCATTCTTTAGCTGTAGATGCATATTTTTTCCCTTATTTCATAATAAATCAGAATAACTTAAATTTTTATCAATGCCACTATATATCAAAGATTAAAATTACATTGCAAAAGATTTGCTGTGTTGCAGTTTTGGAAATGGCTTATGAGTATTGTGTCAGTGAAATTAAAACTAATCAAATCAATCTTGTAGAATAGGGAAAGAAATAAAATGCTATTTCTCTGCAAATAGGAATAGTAGAGCCAAAGAGAGATTACACTGTTCACATTGATTTCTTGTCCTGTGCGCTGCTTCTCAGTTTGCTGTCCCTTGATTCAATACTAAAAGGAAAGCTTGCAGTGTTCCTAACCCCAGCTAACTTCTTCCTGTATATATTCTTACTACTATATCATACCTTAGCCTCTACCACTGGAAGGGCAGTTCTAATCAGGAATATGACTATACATTGATTGCTGTGGTGACAAAATGAATAGTACTTTTCAATGTTAGACTTATTCACTAGACCTTATGAGCACTAGAAACACACAGAGTGTCCACTGTATAGCTGATAGTAAAAACATGTTCTGTCCTGTGTTACATGCTTCCGAATCAAGGAAAATAGCACAGCCTTGTTTCAGGAGAGGTATCTTGTAGTGAACTGTTTCTGGTCGTAAGATACCCCTATCAATTCACAAGAGAGAGAAGGATCCTTTTCATCTTGGTTAGTGCTGAAAATTTTAGCAGTGATTATGGTTTTAAGTTATTGGGGAAAGCATTTTTTTAATTATTTAAAATTGAATTATTTTTAAGGTCATTTAATGGTATCTACTTCCCAAGGGATTCTGAGAACAGCAGCAGTTAAAAACAAAGTTTGTAAACTGATATATGTAGCAGGAATATATAAATGCCAAGTACTTGAGGGTGTTCTTGGAAAAACTTTGAAGCACATAAGAATAGACACAGCTCTTCCCTACATGCATGCTTCATGCGTGAACAACCTGTGATGATATTGATAAACATTTCTCTCGGGAGTGACCTTATTGCTCTCTACAACTGCCTGAAAGGAGGTTGTAGCGGGGTGGGTGTCAGTCTTTTCTCCCAAGAAACAAGCGATAGTACAAGAGGTAATGGCCTCAAGTTGCACCAGGAGAGGTTTAGACTGGATATTAGGAAAAATTTCTTCACCGAAAGGGTTGTCAAGCATTGGAATGGGCTGCCCAGGAAAGTGCTTGAGTCTCCATCCCTGAAGGTGTTTAAAAGATGGGTAGGCGAGATGCTTAGGGACATGGTTTAGTGGTGGACAGAGCAGTGCTAGGTTAACGGTTGGACTTGATGATCTTAAAGGTCTTTTCCAACCTAAGCGATTCTATGATTCTAATGTATTAAATATTTACATAAATTTTTAATGGTTCTCTCTAATGTATTGGAGGGTGGGGTGGGTGGTGGAGAGTTCCTGTCCAAATAGATCATAGTTGAATAAAAAGTGTTTGTGTTTACACAAACCGAGGGCTTAGGGATCTGTACAACTTTGTAGAGGGAGTAAAGAGTTCAAGATGCCTCCTTGCATTCTCATAGGGGCAAAGCTCACTGCATTAGAGGTATTTTAGAACTGAGGCTGCTCTTTTGCTGTTCTCCCAAACATATACACACACACAGATGTGGGAGTAGAAAACCAGAAAATATAAAAATAACTTGAGAGGACAGGAGAGAGGAGAAGGTTCCATGTGCATTGATTCAAACAGGGTTATACAGTCAACAATTAACAGAAACATCTGTAGACCAAAGAGTCCATTAAAGGAAAGGTTAATAAGGGGATATTGTTGGAAAAAGGTGAGTGGTTCATGGAGATGAAAGGGAGTAGATAGAAGAGGCCTCAGAGGTACTGAGAGTTTCCACAGAGTACAGCAACGGTGGTTCCTGGTGTCTTTAATTAGCAAAATTTGTAATTAGATTGGGGATGTACTTTTCTATTACTCTTCTTAGTTTACTTCAACTGGTGTGCACTCCAAACAGTGTGTACAACTGAATAGAATTCTGATGATGGTATTGTTTTGATTTGCGCCCTCTAAGCATGCAGCACAGTTTGGACATTTACATAATTTTTATTGTATGCTTAAAACAGAAAATAGATGATCTTTTCCTGCTATTTTTAGAAAGACATATATAAAACTCCAAGGGGAAAGAGCAGAAATTGTCCATACACTGTAAAATAAACAATTTTATTTTGACTGTTTTCTTAGTAAAAGTGTTTCAGAAATTTTGATATCATGTTGTGAAGTTATCAGCTACACTTACAGGTGGCCACTTTACTGCCCTCTTTTACTGTTTCTGATAGCATGAATTAATTTGATTGACAGCTTTCCTTTGTGTTCTGTGCTTGCTTTCCATGCTTTCTTTCTTTTTGGCTGAGCCAGGAGACAAGCTTGCTAGTGAAGTATTTTACATCTTTCAGATGGCTTGTGACCTGAACTGTACAGCAGAAGGTATCTGCTGAGATCACATAATTTATTACCAGATTATGAGATCTGAAATGAAAGTGTACATTTATAAAATATTTATTTTATTAACCCTTCGGAAATCAAAGTGCTCACAGTTGCATTTGTGACAGGTTCGTTTTTGTTTTGTTTTGTCATCATTACATTTATACAGCATCAATTCAGAGCATCCAGTTTTGACTATGGCCAAAACTGTTGCTGTTACACTTTCAGTGTACCAGATGCAGAAGTTTGGGTTGAGTTCTGCTTCAGCGGATTACCATATATCACCACTACTATGAAAATTAGGCAAGGCCTTTGTGATTTCCTTGATATGGAAGAAAAAAAGTTGGTTAGAAAGCTTGTCCTTATATCAGGGAAACTGAATTAACAGGTTCATACCCATTCACCCTACTCTTCCCTTAAAATGGAGATGACTTCATTGAGACGTTAAATTCTCCTCTCCTAGCCATCTGAGAAAATGGTATCTCATGCCAGCTATAAAAGAAAAGGTAGAGACTCATTTTTTGAAGCTGACATCTTGCACAAAGCCCATTAAAAAAAATTCATGTAGACCTGTTTAAAAAAAAAAAAAAAAGGCTGCTGCTTTTCATGCTGCCCAGTTTATATCCATTGATGTGATACAGAAACTGCTGCTGGACCAGTAAGAGGAGTTGGCTTTCAGTGAAACTAGGAAAATTACATTTGTCTTTGTCATTATCAAATATCTAAAATCCAGTGAAGCAGAATCCAGCCCATCTTTCCTAAACTGGTATGTCTGTCATGCAATGGAACCTTCTGAAGATGAAATCCTCGTTACATGTGAATGGGGGCCCATTTCAGTATTTACTGTTCTTTCTTCTAAGTATAAATTTGCGACCTTTGGAACTTCACCTTCTCACTTGTAGCCTTGGCTTCTCATAAAAGGCCTTCAGTGATTTACAAAACATATCATGTAAAAACTCATTAAAAAAAAAAAGCAGTCATGATAGCTGAATGCTATCCTTGTAAAATATAATTAGAAAAACACATGCACAAAATTAGGAGAAATTGTTTTGCCGTATCTAGAACTGGCTTGACCAAAATAAAAATTGATTCTTCCATTTTAGTTTATTGAGAGGTCTAAAGCAATTGTAGTTAAATGGCAGTATTTATCATCGCTAACAACATTTGGACTTAATGGACATTGTATTTTCTTGACAGTCTGCTTGGGGTGGCATGATGATGATGATCAATTAAATGTTTAAATGACTAAGTGTAGCTATTGATCTACATGGTTATTTAACTATATTTCAAAGGATAATTTGAAAGTTTCACAAAGGAAGTTAAGATAATTTGCTTCAGAAAAGGAGCTTGGCCATATTTAAACATTAGGCATTTAAACATTTAGCACTCACCTGAGTCCTGCTTGTATCAGTAGGAGTTAGGTAGTGAGTTCTTTAAATACTCAGCATTGAGATGAGAATCCTGTGGAGGGTACTGTAGCTTTTTCAACCTTATCTGTAGTCGTGTGTGAGTATAGTAATTTGTACTCTGATCCAAAGGACGCAAATTTGACAGTATTTCTGATTTGGGATTTGCATTTATTTTGATAAAGAGTGTATTTTTCACTAATTAGCCTGATTCTATGCACAGAATATTTTGCCTAGTAAGTCTCAGTTTCCTGTTATTTGGAATCTTTGAATTCCAGTTAAAAAAGTAGAGAATCTTGCTAAGAATCTACCTGCTAACTTTCCATGAGCCAGACAAATCTGCTTTGTCCAAAACTAATCAGTTTTAAATATCTGTAAGTAGCAGCATATCACATTACTGGAAAAAACCAAAGGGTTTAAAATAAGTGTGTATATATAAGTATATGTGTACATAGTTCCACCTTCATTAAGCATCTGAAGATGAGAACATGATCATACATGAAAATAATGCAATGGTGCTGTGTTTTATGAACTTCTTCCTCTCCCAATTTCCTGAACAAGGTGGCAACTATGACAGTCGATTTGATGTGGACAAGGGCACTGGAACTATCATTGTCGCTAGACCTCTTGATGCAGAACAGAAATCAAATTACAACTTGACGGTAGAAGCAACAGATGGAACAAGATCTATCAGCACTCAGGTAATGGACTTTCTAATTAAACACTTACAGAAGAAGGAGTTTGTAGCTGGGGGTTGGAGAGGGTGTGGCATTTTCTCCTTACCATTTTTTTCATCCGGGACAATGAATATGGTTTATATAAATTAGGGACTGTGTCAAAAAAAAATAAATAGAAGTGGATTCCAGTATTCATAGAGCCATGTTGTTTGGCAGTACAGGTGGAAGATTGTGTGTTACTATTGCTATAGTCAGCAGCTTTTAAAGTTATATCATGTTCCTACATTAGCTGAGTAAATGAAAACAAACTAAGCCCTTTCATGCATGATTTACTCACAAGAAAAGGATTAATACTTCTTATCTGAATTACCCCTCTTTATCCACCTCCCCCAAAATCGCCAAATAATATGATTACTTAGCTCAAAATTTACAAGACCACCATTGTAAGGTTGTTTGGTTCCCACCCCCCCCAAGATCTGTCGATGACAAATTGTACAATGTCCGATTTTATGAAACTGAGCTGCTCCGTCTGCATGGTGTGCATATAGAAACAAGGTTTAGATGATAACATCTCTGTGTATCTTCCTGAGTACTTTCTTTTTGCTTCGGTGGAGGGTAGAGATTGTCAGTCTCTAAAAAGCAACAATCTTGGACAAACTGAATTTTTTTGAAATTACCTCTTTACTAAGGCTCCATGGTGGTGGCAGTTCTTTGCAGCTGGGCTACTAAGTTCACTTTAAGGTAGCAGTGACACTTTTGTGACACTACTGGAAATAACTTGTAGTTAAGTAGGTTGTGATGTATATCCCTCCTGTTTTTCCCATCTAGTTTCTTCCCCCAGCCCAGAATCTGAATATATTTGGAAGTAAGTTTTAGTTGAGGTTGGTGTGCATGGAGCCGTGAGCTCCACTCTTCTTCCAGATAGAAAGGAAAGTATTTATTTACTGATTTAAGACTGTTGGATTGGGACAGTGATGTGTCTGTGTTGCTAACGCTGTCATTGACCTACCTCTCAGGAACTTAAAGAGCAGTAAGTGTCTTTTCTGTACATGGAAATCTGTGTTATAAACACAATTTCTTGTTGTTCAACTTCTGTGCAGTATGTATGTTTTTCTGTTGCCTTTTCTAATGTCTTATATGTTGTCTTCCTCCTTTCAGCCAGAGGTAAAGATGTTTCTTGCCAAAGTTTAGGATTTAAAACAGAATCTTTATTGAGCTGAATGCATGTCTGGAGGCTTGATAGGTCAAACAAACTACATTTGATAGCAGAAGATTGCAAGGTTAGCAGTTTCCTTTGAGAGCTGCCTTTTCCTTTAATGGTGACAATTGTGAGTGATGTTCTAGACGGTGAATCTCCAAACACAGCAAGATGTCACCCAGTCAAAACTTGCTGCTGTCATAGCTGTGGTGCCATTGTTGCTGGTGCTGATAACTACCATAAAAGGTTTGAAGAATCCTGCCTAGCTGAAGTAAAAATACAGAGCAGATTCATTTCTATCGATTACACAATGCTGGATAGAAGGTATGAATAGTTTGGGGAAAAAAAAAAAAAAGAACCCCAAATCTAACTAAAAGATAACTTGTTTTGCCAGGAAAGATGGAAAGACAGCAAGAGGCTTTCCATACACACTTCCCTCACCACCCCCCCAGCTCCACCTCCGAGAATGCAGTTAAAAATGCCACCATGCAGAGTGTGTTGGGGGGTAGCCTGGGGACTGAATTTGTGGTCTCGATGACTGCAGATATTCTATCCCGTGCTGCTGCTTATATAGCTGAATTTATGCAGGCGTCCTGAGCTGTGACAGTTGAACCATAATCTGCTTTGTCTTCTGGAACAACCAAGAATTGGAAGGTCACAAAAATACTTTAACCCTCACCCCTTCTCTTCCTCTGGGTTATGCAATTCATTTAGTTCTTCTCAGAAGTGCACAGTGTCGCTTTTGTCGAACTTCTTTAAATGAATTTGTTATTTTAGCATTTCATAAAGCTGAGTGAACATTGTAAACATTTACCACAGCAGTCTTCTGCAGAAGAATTGGAGTTGTAGTCTCAAATGCATTGTCTCTTATTTCTGTGATTCCTTTTTTATGATTGTCTTTCGTGTCTTTCCCCTCTGAGCTAGAGTTGGCAGGAGCAGAGGTTGTGGTTTCTGTTACAAGAGAGCACAAAGACTTCCTTTACATTGTCTTCCTTTTTCCCCTCTTGTGGGATAAGCACAAGTTACGCTGTTGCTGTTTGAGTCTCACGTTACTGTGGTATATAGATTGAGGAGCTTGGATTAGTTCAAACTCTGCAACTGTTGGTGCATGAACAGACTCCTGATTTTAACTGATGCTTTTATCTCCCCCGTAACTCCCGGCCCACCCAAATGGACTGATCTGTTAACATAGCCCTCAGGACTATCATTGAGAGATGCATTTCGGATGAGGCTTAACTTCAGGAGAATTAAAAATGTTGACATGAAATGAAAGTTGAAGGTGTGGCTGCCAGTGTGTAAATTCCATTACTCACTGCTGCTGATGATGATGAAAATTTGAGTGTTGATGTGGTGTTGAATTCTTCTAAGAGATGATAAACAGTTAAAAGCAAAAGAAATTCTGAATGCTGAGTGCATACATTAGGAACAACAATATGCCGTACACAGCTTTTAGCTTACAAAGTAATTGCTGTAAACATTGGAAATACAGTAAACAATTTAACAGACCTTGATTAACAGCAGATTAAGTAATTTTACATTTAATTTGAAAAAGGAAATGACATTTTCAAGACATTGGGGAGGGGGACGAGAAATGCAATCTTATTGCGTAAAAGCAGTGTATTGAATCTGACTTTGAACTAGAAGGCATTTGCTGGCCTCAGGCCATTAACATCTGTAGAGCATTTGACTCTTTCAGGACTTCAGTTAAATAGCTTTTTTGAAAAATGCAGCAGCAGTAGGCGTGGAGGCTATTAGAATTTTGCATGCATCTAAATGCCAAATGCATGATGCAAAACAAGGACAAACACATTCCAGGCCCACAGTAGTGGTGTTTGACAGATGATGTTAGAGATGACTAGCGTCACACTAGGAAGGAATATCATTAAAAAACCAAATCAGTGTACTAATGGTTTTGGATTATGTTTTGGCCTGAAATTGAAAAGGTTATTCATAGGCTGTAAGTAGCAATATATGAACTATTGAGTTGCTTTTTGGGGGGAAAACAGAAAGAAAGGAAAAAAAAAAAAAAAAATCCTGTTTCTAGCTGTAGCCACTTCCAGTTGTTGCTATGTCTATCAATTTTTTTTACTGGAAGTAATACTTAAGATGGTTTAAAGCTAATTGCAGCATTTTACCTATTGCTGTGCTGTTGCAGAATTTAATATATTTAATCTTACTTTATGCAAAATTTATATGGATATTATGCTTTGGGAATGAAGGATAGAATACTCTTCATTGATTAAATGTGCATTTTTGCTTGCGATTACCACACTGCTCCACAGAGACATTTTAGAACATAATTTTTTGTTTAGGAAAATGATTATAAACGCGTCAATGTAGCTGTAATGTAATTATGAATGGAGAGAGGAGGAAATTTTAAACTCCATATGGAATCAGCAAATGAAAGATTAGATTAAAACAATCCAAAGGAACATCTTGTTTAAATATTATGCACTGAGTGTGTTTTGTCAATGGCACACATCTCCTCTATAACTTATTAGTAATCAATGCATTCCTATGCAAATTTAGGTTTCATCTGGCAAATAATGAATAGATTTCAAGCCCTTCCCCTAAATAATCCTGAGCTGCTTTGTTCTCTGTCTGTATAACCAGGTTACATTGCTCTCAGTGAGATCTGTGAGTAGAGGGCAGCTGTGCAGCACAGCCCTTGCATGGCTTTGCAAATTGAGTAAAGTTTCTTTAGCTCCAGACCATTTTGTTTCAGAGATCACATTATGGTCTGTTGATGTCAAACTTTTCTATAGTGTGCCTCTTTAATATGCAGCTTCTTTCTTAAGAGATTGTATATTTGACTTGAATTTAATCTTACCATTTCATTGAGAAATGGTCAATAGCTGTTTTTATTGTTATACATGTTACTTTAGAATAACACAAGCTCTTCATGTATTTTGTTCTCAGGTGCACAAACACATGTTTTTCTGCATAGGTCTTTAAAATTGCACTCACAATTGCCTTTCATTTAATTTGAAGGCTTTAACAGTTTACATGAAAATTTGGTCCCCTTACATTTAAAGGGAGATTGCACATCTAGCACCTGTCACTTAGCATCGGTAAGAATCCCTGTCTTGAAGGTAGGATTTCCTTAGTACATTTATTTAATAATTCAGATTGGAAGGAGCCCCTGGAGTTCATCTAGTTAAGACTCCTGCTCAAAGCAGAGCAAATTGCAGAGTTGGATCAAGTTGTTCAGGGACTTGTCAGGTTCAAAGTGCCTGGGATGAGGGGGGCGCCACCTCTTCCTTGGGCATCCTTTCGCATTAGTGTTTAACAACCCTCCTTGAAAATAATGTCTAGCTGTTGTTTCCCTTATTGGAGCTTGCGAGTGTTGGCTCTTGTCCTTTCACTGTGCACCTCTGAAAAGAGTCTGGCTCTCCTTCCTGCAGCCCTCCCTTTACACGGTGGATAGAGAGCTTTTAGATCCCCACTGATTTGCCAGCGGCCCTTCACGATGTTCGTTTCAGTTTGTCAAGATCTGTTTTGGACTGCAGGGACCAAAACTGAAGTAGACCTACAGTCCCACCAGAGAGTGCCAAACAGAGGGGAATAATTCCTTGCCCCCTGCCTGCTGCTCCCCTTATCAAAGCAGCCCAGCATGCAGTTAGGCAAGTTACAATAAGGTTGCCCATCAATTCACATTATGCTTGTCCAGCAGAATCTGCGGAGGGCCATTAAGTAACAACATCAGTGAGTGAGTATGTAGATAAAACACCTTTCACTTGAGTCAAAGATAAACTTTTGATTTTAGGTACATTTAAAATGGTTGCACTAATAAATCAAATTGTGTATTTGTAGGTGTGTTTACCAGTATGGAGAAAAACACCATGCCTGAGCAAGTAATTTGACAAGTAATGGAATACCTGAGCAAGCCACTCAGGGCAACTAAGTCATTATGGTTATTCCTTAGTAATATTTTTGTTAATAATTCATATTTAATAGTGCTGCACATTTTGATGCGTTATCCCCTCATGTGCTCGGCCCAACAGTAGCCTTCTGGAAAATGTCTTCTCATGTTTTTAGTGGTAAGGTTATTTTAACTGCTTCACTAGCTAACCCCAGGGGAAGCTGATGCTGTGTCCTTTAGATAGTATGATCAACAGATCACTTCTCAGTTAAGCTGGTTCATTGGCTATGTGGTTTGTGTTGCAGGTACCAATGCTGGTTTCACAGTCACTACATTCCTGGCATTTAACTAGGTACTTTGCACAGTTTTTTGTGGTGCTTCATTCTAGAAATGCTGTTTTCCTGTATTCATTTTGTGTACTACCAGTGGCACAGGTGGCCATGTCTTCTGCTCCAAAGATTCATCTAACACAGTTGCTCTGGAGTTGCATTCCTTCTCACCTCTGGTTTTGACCTAAGTTTCTATATTTCCTCATTTGAGGGGGAAATTATTTAAATTAATCAAATTTGACACTTTATCTTTTCACTTACCATTTTTCTGACTCTCAACTTAATAAACTGTCAGGGGTGGGTATTAAATAAAAAAATTGTTGACACGGTCATTTAGAAAACAGTGTCCATTAATTAAAGTGTTGTAATTCTGTATAGTATTTTAACCTTTTATTTATACAGAAGGTTTTTGTATAGTTTGATGTGTATTGAGGGTTGGGTTTTTCTGCATTTTTTTTAATTTGTTGGTCATCTTCATTTGGTTTCATTTTCCTGAGCACTAGTGTCCAGTGAGCAGGTGTTTTTACTGAAATGCTATGTAAGTGACCGTATTGGACCCTTCTGTATTTCTCCTTCCAAGATGCATTAAAATGTATTTTATTTATACAGAATTTAAGAAGAAACCAACAACTGCGCTTTTGTTGCTTTATTACATCCTCTCTAATCAAGGCAATCTAAAAAATACCATGTTTCGTGTCATATTCTTTTCATTCTTGCTTTTCATTTTTCAATTTAATTTATTAGTGAATATATTTAAAAACTTGACCTAATAGGTATCCTAGGTCACCTACCATAAATTTTTCTCTCTACCAAAAATCAATATTTATTCCAACTCTTTGTTTCCTTTCTTTAATCAGTTCTTGACAAAAACAAACTCAGCTTCCATCACAAAATCTTGCAAGGGATTTTATCAATGTGCCAAATGATTAGTTTATTTTGTGTTTCTTCCATTTTCTGAGGAATCTAATAGATTGTGGGAGGCAGTGTTTTCCTGTGCAGTGATAGTTTGTATCCATCCTAACAGACTGTTCCAAACAGTAAAAACTTCCTATGTAAAATTACTATATATTGGATTAGGGCTCACTGACCTGCAACACCTAGGACTGCATCTATTAAAAAAAGCGAAGAGGCTTGTGTGTGTGCTTGGACACTGGGGTGTGCCCACATACATGCACATGCCCCCCTCCCTGCCCCAGCTGTCTGGAGGTGGAGCTCAGTATTGTTAACAGCGTGTGTTACATTAGGAGGATTGCCATCTAATTTTTTATTTTTATTTTGTTCCCCTGAAACATTTTGTGTTGGTGATTTGTTTCTGCTAAGCAGCTTATTGCAGCACCGCTGCTTTGCCAGTGTCTCATTTTTATTTTCTTTTGTGAGGGGTCATGCTCCCTATTGTTCTTGGTGAATAAGACTGAGGCAAAATTGTAATCTGGGACGGGCTTTCCTCCTCCTTAATTGGTCTTTATATTTCCTGGTGATCTTGCTTACCTACAGTTTGTTTCACAGTTTCAAATAAACTTAAAACTCTTTTATTCCTTACCTGTTTTTTTATTCTGTATCTGGCTTCTGACTCTCGAGATTCCACATTTGCCATCTTCCACTCTGTTCCTATATTCCCTTTTATATGCTTGTCTGTTCCTTTTTATTATCCAAGTGAAATTCTCAGTGAAAATAGCCTTTCTGGTGGCAGTTATTTCAGCTACCAGAGTGGGCAATATCCCACGTTTTGGGAGGACTTTCCTATGTTATTATGCAAAGTTATCCCAAGTTCCATGCCCAGTTCTTTGTGTTCCCAGATTCTCGCTTCCTTTAATCAGTCTTGCTCTGTGGTGCCTTCAGGGTTGGTGCAGGACTTCATTACTTAAAGTCTTTCTGTTATTACTTAGAAGAAAATCCTTCTAACAGTCTCCTAAACTCTTGGTAGCATTTTAGAGTATACCCAAGGACTGCCCATGTCTGTCTGGAAGTTATTTAAATGTTTTCAGCCTGTACGAAAATTTGCCATTAGGAAGAACTCATTGTATTGGAGCTTAGGTAGAAGTTGCAACCTGGGATAATACACTTGCATCTGAAATAAATATTTTAGGAATTGGTATGACTCCTGTTGATCCATTTAATACCAGTTTTTCCTTGGTACAAGTTTTAACATAAGATGCCAATTATGAAAGGTTGAAGTTGAGGGAGTTTTCCTGTAGCAAGATGTGTGGCATTTCCTTATTATTTACCACCATCAGGGTTCATGTCATCTTGTTTCTACTACATGCAGTTTGGTACCTTGTCTAAGTTATATCTGTAGACTCCACCAGGTATCAATGGAAAGCAGTAAGTATCTTCAAAGAGCAATATAACCCACTTATGATGCCATACATATGTACTTTAAACACCTGTTGATGGCACTTAACTAATTTATATGAAGCAGCTAAGCTTTGGGTGGCTAAAAGCGTGGCTGTATGTGCAGCACATAAAGAACTTGAATTTAGCCATGTGTTCTTGGAGCTTTGCTGTCCACCTGCCAAGTCCTCTGTGCTACTGTTACTCATTTGTTACCACTGTTGAACAAGATGGTGGCTGAGCGTCTTACCCTTTTTATGTAAGAGTTCAGTGCTGTGAAAGGCAATGGGGGTGTAGGGATCTTGCATGGTTCCACTAGACATTATTATTCAAAGAGAGCATTACTTTTATAGCACGTAGGCAAACCCAGCTGAACTTCGGTGGGAAAATGCAATCTGAAGCATCGAAGTTAATATAACTGTAATTTCAGAGAAATTGTGTTGGTGACCTATGCTGAGATTGTGCTACATTGCTGAAGAAGAGCAAGTAATAACTGTGCTTCTTTGAAATAATATACTTTTGTGGGAATTCCACCACTTTTCCGTTCTTGCCTAGGCTTGGAAATATAAGGAGCCAAAAGAGGATTGTTCCCGTGTGAGAGTAGGGAGGATTACAGTGCATCTGCTGCCTTAGAAAACAGTGCTTGAAATTCCAAATTTGCACAAATAAAAAGAACCTAGGATCTATATTGATTTTTTTTTTTTTTTTTTTTTTTTTTTAATTCCAGAATTACTAAGGAATTCCTTTTCATTCCCTTTAAGGTATCTTCCCTAAGGCATTTTTGATCATGTAGATTTCTGGTTTGACTTTGGGGAAGGTGAGGCAGATTTGGGTTTAGTGAGATTCTTCTTCCCTATACCTCTTAGACCTCTCCCCTTCCCTGAAAAAAAAAATGTGTCTTGCAGTGGAATTATTTCAGTATTATGGTCTGATTTTTAATTAAATACTCTCTTCATCTCTGTTTCCCAAATATCATCAATGCTTTCCCCTTCCCATTGTATCATTTCAGGTGTACATCAAAGTTATAGACACAAATAATCACAGGCCTCAGTTTTCTGCTTCAAAATATGAGGTTGTTATACCTGAAGACACCATACCGGAGACAGAAATTCTGCAAGTCAGTGCCACAGACAGAGATGAGAAGAACAAACTGATTTATACTATGCAGGGCAGCACTGATCCCATCAGTCTTAAAAAATTTCGTCTGGACCCTGGAACTGGCTCTCTCTATACTTCAGAAAAATTGGATCATGAGACCATGAACCAGCATATTCTCACAGTAATGGTAAATAAACGCAAAATTTCTTCTGTGGTCAATAACAAACAGATCTTTTGAAATGTCTTTTTTATTTGTCCCCTAAATTCAAACATTTATTTGTATGTTTAATTTGTATGCAGCCTTTGTGTCTGTGACTGGTACAGTTTGAACCGTGAAGTATTACTAATATTTGATGAACTACTGAAATAACAGTGTTAATTACTGTAATGTGCTAACTGTTTCAGGTTCGAGATCAAGATGTTCCTGTAAAGCGCAACTATGCTAGAATCATCATTAATGTTAGTGACACAAATGATCATGCTCCATGGTTCACCAGCTCTTCCTATGAAGGACGGGTGTATGAGTCAGCAGCTGTTGGATCAGCAGTACTCCAGGTTACAGCATTAGATAAGGACAAAGGAAAAAATGCAGAAATTGTGTACTCTATTGAATCAGGTAGATTGACTTTCTTACATCTTCAGTTTATTTTGAAACAATGCATGCTGATACTTTTTTACCACTGTAGACATGTAAAAAAATTGCTGTAAAAAAGGGGGCAGTACAGGTGTGCGTGTCATATTCTGTGAGATGTATTGAAGATATGACCTCAGCATTTAAAAAAACCCCAACAATGACAAATATTCACCTCCCTCCCTTAGCTATTTATATTAACATTTAGATACATTTAGAACATTTTAGTAGTAGTAGTAGAAGAAAAAGCTACATTTAAACCCTTGAGAGGGGTGTGGTCATTAGAAATTACAGAAGCATTAAATTCAGATTGAGAAAAACCCCCAACTTTTCTCTGATAATGTAAGTTATACTTTGTGGCATAGGCAAAGCAAGGATTTGATGAAAAGAGTAAGAGCCTGAGACAAGTGCTTTCATGTTTAACACAGTGTGAAAGAAAGGAGCTCAAAAATAACTTACAAATACCCATATACTTAACCACTAAATAGTCCCAGTTTTTAAGTTAAACTTTCTGATAGATGTAGCAAGAAAGGGTTGCTTTGCATGGTTCCCTCTGGCTGATTTTAGATAGTGGGACTGCTGTTCTAGCTCAATAAAATATGTAAGAAACTCTTCAGGAGCTGGTCAATTTGGCATTAAGGCTCCTTTCAGACTGCAGGCCAGAGAAGAACTCTGCTTATTTTTAATGTCAGAGTATCTTTCTGAACTTGCCTATAACAATGCAATTCAACTGATGGCAATTTTGAATAATAGAAAACAGGATGACATTGACTGAGTTCACTTACCAGATGGAAGTGAGTTTTGGTTCAGTCCATTAAATCTAGATACAAGCCTGCCATTACCAAGGTCCTGAACTATTTAGGCACTATGACTGGGAAGAAAAGTTATTTAAATTTTGTTACCTATGTGCAGTACTTTCAAGGTAGAAAGTAATTTAAAATATAAATCCCAGTAACAATCATAAGACACTGTATATTAAAGAGAACAGTTGGTAAAAAGTTATTCAGTTACCGTTGCATGCAAGGTGGTATGTGCAAATGCTTTTTTTTTATTTGACATAAGTTGCTTTGTGATTCATAGGAATTGTTTACTGTAAATATTTTCCATTCCTTCCCCCAAAGTGTTATTTTGATATGAAAACATACTTTAACACTGTATTAAAAGGAAGCTGTGATTATGATACTCTGAAGAAGAATGTATTTGTCTCATGAGTTGCTTAAAATATATGTTTGTTTTCTGTTATATGAAGAGATAAGACCTTGTTACTAAGGAGGACACTACTGCCCATGGAACTTTTCTCTTGCCTTTCCCATTTCAGTAGTGCTTGTTTTATGAATGGCAAGAAAAAAAAGTGTATGTGTGTTGTCTAGAATGAAGTTACACCCTGTTACCTTCCTTTCTTCTAGCTTTTTGTAGGAGTAAATGTAAGATTTTCTTAGGTTTGTTGTACAGGACTGTGATCTACTGGGAGGTTAAAGCTTTATAATTGATGTTGTAAGCATATGGAAGGAACATTCCTTAAATGTTTGTAATGGCTGCTTAGATTTGTAATGGGATATTCTAAGAATGCCACTGTGTTTAGAGCCTCCACTAAAAAAGCCAAACAAAAAACCACAAAAAAACCCCCTCTTGCCTACTTGTGTGCATACTTCAGAAGTACTTAATGAATTTTTTCCATGCTGAGAACATGGCTTTAGTAATTTAGTTTTTTAAGGAAGTAAAGTGTTAAATTTTACCATATTCAGTACATGAGCTGAATATTGTATGCCATGTAGTTCAGCTATATATTTGAAAATATAAAGAAAACAAGTGTTTATCAAATGGCAGCTGGTAATCCTCAGCAGGTAGTATTTTTTTTCCTAATACTCTCCCCGGGAATAACTTGCCTATGTATTAATAGGAAGTTAGGAGAGAGATAACTATTGATCCAATTCAGAAAGATTAATTTTGAAGCAGTGATTTAAACAATACTTGCATAAGCAATTAAGATTCACAAGTGTGAATTCATTAAAACACTTCTTTTTTTCTAAGCAGTCTGGTTATTTTAGATCACAAAATGTAACTTGTATTCCACTAATACTAAATTCTGAATATAATTTTCATTCAGCTTCAGCAGATATTTAAGTTGGCTTAAACATGAACTCAATGACAAAGATAATTTGAAGACAATACATAATTTATAATGTTGAAACTTGTAAAATACTTGCTATCTTTTTAAGTTTTTTTAATGGAAAATGAAACAAATTTTTTGCATTTATTTTCAAGGCTTGGATGGCTTTGCTAGCTATGTTTTATGCTGTGTTTCCACAAGTAAACTTAGAATTAGTGCTAACTCTTGATTACAGAAGGCTTTCCAGAGAGGCTAAGAAATGTTTGTTAAATAAAACTAAGAAACTTTAATATTCTCTGTATTCTCATTATGTGATCTCTTTTAGTATGTAGCTATGTAAGCAATCATCCTTTAAGTTCTGTATACCTCTTCCTTAATGACTTTTCTTGTTCTTCACAGGGAATATTGGAAATTCCTTCTTTATAGATCCCATTTTGGGTATAATTAAAATTGCAAAGGAATTAGATCGTAGTAACCAGGAAGAATACAACCTGATGGTAAAAGCTACAGATAAAGGAGATCCTCCAATGAATGAAGTGACCTCTGTGCATATATTTGTTACGGTTTCTGATAATGCCTCGCCAAAATTCACAGCCAAAGAATACTCTACAGAAATCAGTGAAAGTGCCAGCATTGGCAGTTTTGTTGGAATGGTTACAGCATACAGTCAGTCTTCTGTAGTTTATGAAATAAAAGATGGTAATATAGGTGATGCCTTCGCTATCAACCCAAACTCGGGTGTCATCGTTTCTCAGAAGATACTTGATTTTGAAACTTTGCCTTTTTACACTTTAACTGTGCAAGGAACAAACATGGCTGGCTTGTCCACTAATGCAACCGTTTTGGTACATCTTCGGGATGAGAATGACAATGCTCCAATTTTTATGCAGGTTGAATATACAGGACTCATCAGTGAATCAGCTTCAATTAACAGCGTGGTTCTGACTGACAAGAATATCCCATTAGTAATTCGAGCTACAGATGCCGATAAAGAGTCTAATGCTCTTCTTGTTTATCAAATTGTTGAACCATCTGTCCGCAAGTATTTTGCCATTGATTCTAGCACTGGTGCCATTCGGACAGTAATGAGTCTGGACTACGAGGAGACAAATATTTTCCACTTTTCAGTGCAAGTACATGATACAGGGATACCACGTTTATATGCAGAATATGCAGCTAATGTTACTATTTATGTAATTGACATCAATGATTGCCCTCCTGTGTTTTCAAGAGAGTTGTATGAGACAACCATTTTGGTTCCAACCTATAAAGGCGTGAAAGTCATCAGCGTAAATGCTACCGATGCTGATTCAGGCATTTTTTCGCAATTAATTTATTCCATTATTGAAGGCAACATTGGAGAAAAATTTTCAATAAACCCTAAGACTGGAGATATAACAGTACAAAATACAACTCAGTTAAGAAGCAGATATGAATTAACAGTGAGAGCATCTGATGGCAGATTTGCAAGCACTGCATCTGTAAAAATTAATGTGAAAGAAAGCAAAGCAAGCCAGCTGAAGTTCACACAGAGTTCTTACTCTGCAACAGTGCAGGAGAATTCCACAGAGGCAAAAACAATAGCTGTTGTTACTGCTGTAGGGAATCAAATAAATGAGCCTTTGTTTTACCATATTCTAAATCCAGACAGCAGATTTAAAGTAAGCCCAACTTCAGGAGTCCTTTCAACAACAGGAATACCATTTGATCGTGAACAGCAAGAATCTTTTGATGTGGTCATAGAAGTGACAGAGGAATATAAACCATCAGTTGTTGCACACATTGTAGTTAAAGTCACAGTGGAAGACGTAAATGATAATGCTCCATTTTTTGTCAATCTTCCATATTACGCTGTCGTTAAAGTAGACTCTGAAGTAGGCCATGTTATTCGACGTGTCACTGCAGTAGATAAAGATACAGGCAGAAATGGAGAGGTGCATTACTATCTCAAAGAACACCATGAACATTTCCAAATCGATCCCACTGGTGAAATCTCACTGAAGAAGAAGTTTGAACCAGACACGCTAAATAAGGAGTATCTGGTCACCGTGGTGGCAAAAGATGGAGGAGACCCTGCTTTTTCTGCTGAAGTTGTAGTCCCCATTACGGTTATGAGTAAAGCTATGCCAGTTTTTGAAAAGCCTTTCTACAGTGCAGAGATACCCGAAAACATTCAGCTCCATAGTCCTGTGGTACATGTACAAGCAAACAGCCCAGAAGGACTTAAGGTGTTTTACAGCATCACAGATGGAGACCCTTTCAATCAGTTCACTATCAACTTCAACACTGGAGTTGTAAATGTTGTTGCCCCTCTTGACTTTGAGTCCCACCCAGCCTACAAACTGAGTATTCGAGCAACAGACTCCTTAACTGGGGCTCATGCTGATGTGTTTGTAGACATAATAGTGGAAGACATCAATGATAATCCTCCTGTGTTTACAGAGCAGTCTTACACCGCAACCCTTTCTGAGGCGTCTGTCATTGGAACATCTGTTGTACATGTGAGCGCTACAGACGCCGATTCTGGAACAAACAGGGGGATTTCCTATCAGTTGATTGAGGATAATAGCGAAAGTCATGACTACTTCCACGTAGACAGCAGCACTGGACTCATTCTTACAGCAAGAACTTTGGACTATGAACAGATTAAACAACACAGGTTACTAATAAGGGCCATAGATGGTGGCATGCTGCCCTTGAGTAGTGATACTCTTGTAATTGTTGATGTAACTGATATCAATGATAACCCCCCTCTCTTTAACCAATTGCTTTATGAAGCTAAAATTAGTGAACTGGCTCCCCGAGGGCATTTTGTGACATGTGTGCAAGCCTCAGATGCAGATAGTTCAGATGTTGACAAGCTGGAGTACTCCATTCTGACAGGCAATGACCAAAAGAATTTTGTAATTAATAGTAAAACTGGCATTATCACCATCTCAAACCTACGCAGACAGTCCCTAAAGTCACATTATAATCTTAACGTGTCTGTTTCTGATGGGGTCTTCAGAAGCTCAGCCCAAGTCCATATAACTGTAACTAGTGCCAATATGCACAGTCCTGTTTTCAGCCAGAATGAATATGAGGTTGAACTAGCTGAAAATGCTCCGTTGAATACTCTGGTGACTGAAGTTAAAGCAACAGATGAAGATTCTGGTACTTATGGCCACATCACTTACCACATTGTGAATGACTTTGCCCAAGACAGATTTTATACAAATGAGAGAGGGCAGATATTCACCTCCAAAAAGCTTGACCGTGAAACACAAGCAGAAAAAGTAATTGCCATTAGTTTAATGGCCAAAGATTCAGGAGGAAAAGTTGCTTTCTGTACTGTTAATGTCATACTTACAGATGACAATGATAATGCTCCTCAATTCCGAGCAACAGAGTATGAAGTAAATATTGGATCTGATGTTCCACGGGGTACTTCTGTCATTAAAGTCTGGGCATCTGATGCTGATGAGGGTACAAATGCAGACATCACATACACTATTGAAGCAGAGTCTGAAAATGTTAAAGAGAATTTAGAAATTGATTCATTGTCTGGTATAATTACTACAAAAGAAAGCTTAATTGGTTTGGAAAATGAGTTTCTGACCTTCTTTGTTAGAGCAGTTGATGGTGGATCCCCCAAAAAAGAGTCAGTTGTTCCTGTCTATGCTAGAATACTCCCACCAGAATTGCCTCTTCCAAAATTTTCAGAGCCATTTTATTCTTACACAGTGTCTGAGGACATTCCAATTGGGACTGAGATAGATGTTATCAAAGCAGAGCATAATCAGACTTTAGTGTATAGTCTCATTAAAGGGAACACTCCTGAAAGCAATAGAGATGATTTTTTTGTGATTGACCGACAGACTGGAGAGTTGAAGCTCGAGAAGAATCTTGATCATGAAACAACTAAATGGTACCAGTTCTCAGTTCGAGCACAGTATGCAAATGAAGATTATAATGTTGTTTCCTCAGTAGAGGTAAGCATTCAGGTAAAAGATGCAAACGATAACAAACCAGTCTTGGAGTCCAATCCATATGAAGCATTCATTGTAGAAAACATGCCAGCTGGAACAAGAGTCATCCAGGTTAAAGGAACTGACTTAGATTCAGGACTCAATGGGCAGGTTACTTACAGCTTGGATCCTGCTCAAGAACTAGACATTATAGAGTCTTTTGCCATAAACATGGAAACTGGCTGGATTACCACTCTCAGAGAACTCGACCATGAGGAACGAGACAAATACAAAATCACGGTGGTTGCATCTGATCGGGGTGAAAAAATTCAGCTGTCTTCTATGGCTGTGGTTGAAGTTACTGTTACAGATGTGAATGACAATCCTCCACGCTTTACTGCAGAGATATATAAAGGAACAGTCAGTGAGGATGACCCTCCTGGTGGGGTAATTGCCATCTTGAGTACAACTGATGCTGATACAGAAGAAGCCAATAGACAAGTCTCTTATTACATTACAGGTAAATCTTTTTGAGTAATGTCAGAATAATCATTTAAGTGGTCCTGGAATTATGTGAGATATAACTAAACCTTCCAAATTATTGAAAAGTATTAGAAACCGTAGAGCTTCAAAGAAAGAATGTGTGTGTCTTAATGTGAATATTAAAAACTTCAGGGGGGAAGAAAAGAGGTTTAGAAAACAGGTCTTTGGCTTTCCGTTTCATGTTTGCCTTGCTTAAAATGCTTTCCTACATTTGTATCAAATACTATACCTACTTATGTATCAAATTTTATTTTAAAAATATATTTAGACTGAAATTAGTGATGTAGTTGAAGAACAAACAAAAGAAATTTCACAAAATAATAGACTATTAATTTCCAGTGGACTACTTTATTGTTTTTGTTATTTAGCATATATCTTGATATCATGTTATCTATAATGCTACATGAATTTCTACATTAATTTTTATAGATTTTATTTGCTGCAGTTAAATTTGTTGTATGAGTGTTTACTGACTATTTCTACCTGGAAAATGAAGCTATTTCCCTCTAAAGCCACAGAAGGGCTGCTTATTTGCGTTTACATTTTTTCTCTTTAGCTCTAACTTAATGTTGATAGAGTAATAGCGGCAATCTCTCTCTTTCTTTGTTTCTTTTCGTATTTCAGGAGGTGATCCCTTGGGACAGTTTGCTATTGAAAATATACAGAATGAATGGAAGGTCTATGTCAAAAAGCCTCTGGACAGGGAAGAAAAGGATAATTACCTTCTAAATATTACAGCTACTGATGGGACCTTTGCAACTAAAGCTGTGGTGGAGGTTAAAGTTCTTGATGCTAATGATAATAGCCCTGTTTGCGAAAAGGTAGGCACAATCTTGTATCTTCCATGTCCAGTTGCTTCCATGTATAAAATGTGAACTTTCTCTAAAATTGTTTCTCAGGAAACTGACAAAAAGGTAACAAATTATGTTGGCAACAGAAATTTGGACTATTAAGATAGAATGCTATCAAAGAATAGTTATTTCATGGACAGGTTTCTTAAATAAAAATCAGAAAACAATTCATTGATGTAATTTTAACACTCAATGGGTATTTGAGTATGAGAATTGTAGTAGATTTCTCCTGTGTTAATGCCTACTTTTCTAAAAGGAATTGTTTTAAGTTGCAGCCATCGTAGTTTATATGCTCTGTTTTCTGAAAGAAGCAAAGTCTTAAAGAAGGCCGCATACCATCACTCAGTTGATGTATTTGTGCATTTCCTGTGATGAAAGAGTTGAAAAGACTGGAATATTATCCTGCAGTTGCAGTCAACAGCACCAAAAACTTGTAATCCATAAATGTTTTTATTTTTACAAAGCAGTCTACTTTATCAAATTTGATAGTCTGCAAAACCATGAAAAATAAAGAATGGAAAAAAAGCCAGAAAGGTGGGCCCTGCAAGATGTACAGTTGCCTTATGAGAAAGCCCTGGCTCTTCATAGTCAAGGGAGGGGTTTGGTTGGGTTGGTTTCTTTTTTGCTTTAGCACATTTGGATTTTCATAGCTGTGTTGTTGAACACAGATTTGATGACACTGGGTGGAAGGGCAAACTCTTTTCTTGTTCTGGGAAGGATCAAGTATACAGTGGGGATTTGGTTCTTTTTCTTAGTCAATGTTTATGTTGATTACTTCTATATAAATTATTGTAGTTATATACGGACTGGTAACTCAATGTTTTTACCTTTTTTTTCTTTTAATATGGGTGTTACCAGGTTCAGTCCTTCTAATTTAATGCACATCCCTGACATGGATGAGCTGTAAGAGTGCTTAGTGCCTTTAAATTCTGGGTGTTTTTTATTTAGTTTCATGCCATTACAAAAAGGCAGGTACAAATTTCTTCTAGATTGAGTCAGACCTAGAAAAGATGATCTACAAAAAATGAAATTACCAAAAATTTCTAGCTCCTGTTTTGGAAGTGCATTTAATTATCATTTAATCAGTTACAAATGTTTAGAGTTCTTAGCTATGCAGTGATACTCAAGAGTCCCTATGGTTGCAGTATTAATTATCTTTCTGAATAATCTAATAAATGTGAGGTAATTAATTAGAAAATCATAAGTTCTTTTCATTAAGTTTCAGGTATTTTATCCTCTAGTTCACTTCCTATGTTACCAAACATTCAAACAGGATATTATCTCGTCCATTGTTCCTTCTTACTTTTCTCTTTCCAAGCTCTACTTACTTCCTATGTTTAGTCTTTCAGTGTAACTTTTAATCTTGTAGGCGTTGTATGCTGATTCTGTTCCTGAGGATGCCCTTCCTGGCAAACTGATACTGCAGGTATCTGCTACAGATGCAGATATTCGTTCTAATGCAGAAATTACTTACACACTGCATGGCACAGGAGCAGAAAAATTCAGACTCACTCCAGACTCAGGTAATAAGGCTTTATACACTATACAAAATTCCAATCATCACTTCATTTTATAAAACGTTTTGCTATTACATTAAGACATACATAAATGTCAGTGCTTTAAGCTTTCCATTAAGGGCTAGTTTATTCTATAGCTGTTTAAAATGTGAGTTTCTACTACACAAATACTAATAATATATTGAATAGAAGTCAGGGCAAAGGCAAGTATTTTAATATGAGGAACTAAAGAATAAATGGGGTAATTGCCCCAAAGCCAGAAACTTCTATGCTGAAGTGACTGGAGTAAAAGTATGCTATAAATCTTGTACTTTTTATATTCATTGTAGCAATAATGGTTTATAAACTGAAAATATCTTCATTCAGATTCTCTTTGCCATCATTTTGTTTGGCGTATTAAATGGGATGAGGTTAGATGGAGCAACAAATTTCATTTCCATAGCAAACAGCAAAAGTGCCTCCAGTTTTATTGGCAACGTTATATAAATGAGATTAACTTTTAACTTGCTTGACTTTGGTTTTCATGGCATTCGTGTCTTCTGGATTGTAATATAGGTTAAAGCTAATGCCAAAATCTTGTGGTCTGCAGGCTGCAGTAGAGAAGCAGTAGGAAAGGAGTAGTAAACAATATAGAAAAATTTAAGTAAGATAAATGCAAAGATATAGTGGAAATATGGAGAAGGAAATTAGAATACTTCAGCGGCAAAATAAATTAGAAGGATCTTACTTCATGGGGTGTTTTTGACTTTGAATGTCACCTGTGTGCGGTACTAGCATGTCATTACATAAATTCAGAATTGTTTGGGCTAGAATACTCATAAATAATATTTCAGAATACTTTTTTGAATTGGTTAAAAGGAGACAGTGGCTACGTATTGTGTCTGTCATAGCATTTTCTGTCATGTTGGAAAGACAGTATGCGTTAGATTTCTATAGGTTTGTCTGTAGCAGCAAGTTGATAGCGTGACTAGCTCTGTCTACTCATTGAATGTTAGAGGAGGAGAGTTAGCTCAATAGTTGTGGAAGGAACACAACTAAACAGCCCAGGAAAACCATACTGGATTTTACCTTGCATTTTGTTAAAGCTGGAGTTGTAGTATTTTCATTTTCTTTACACAAAAACACAGGGATTCATGCATGTATACACATTTTTTCTCTTTCTGCACCGTCAGGTACTCCTACTTTAGCTAATTTCTGTTTCAGAGGCATTTTAAAAAAAGGCAAGAGGATTTTGGTATTTAATCTTTTAAAGCTGAAAAGGCGGGCCACTGACATGCTTTGCCTGAAATGGAGCTCGTTAGTGCATTACAGCTGTTGACTTAGCCACTGATGAAATTACCGTCAAAAAGAAAACTGTTGTTTAGTTTTTCTGAGGACATATATTTTAGAGGAAAACACGTTAGGGATACTTGCAACTTGCATCAACTTACCTGTGTTATTCTGTTTGTAGGTGAACTGAAAACACTAATGCCACTTGATCGTGAGCAGCAAGCAGTTTATTATCTTCTAATGAAAGCCACAGATGGAGGAGGAAGATTCTGCCAAGCTAATATTATTCTGACTCTGGAAGATGTGAATGATAATGCCCCAGAGTTTACAGCTGATCCTTACTCTATTACAGTATTTGAAAACACAGAGCCTAAAACCCTTTTGACAAGAGTGCAGGCAACAGATGCAGATGCAGGTATGCATTCTTTGACTGAGACTTTTGTCGTGGTCTCAAAGTTACAGTAATGTTTATTTAATCTTATCCTGAGAGGTGTTAAGTCTTTCAGTGGAACTGACAGATGTTCAATACCTCTCAGGATTAGACTCCTGAAAGATATATTTAGGGCTACTAAATCATGTAACACCTGACTTTCACGTGTGAGTAGCTTGGAAAACCTCCCTTTTATGTCTCTGCAAAAAAGAAGAGAGGAGAAAGAGATAAAATACAGGATATTTTTAGCACAATAAGCTATTAATGTTATGGTGGGTTTGGTCCATCCTTTTACTCCTGGTGTAAGTAAAAGGAATATCAAGCCATGTCTGTTTTTGTAAATGTGCATTCATAGATTTTGAATGTGTGCTTCTCAGGCTAGCCATCAATGATCATACCATAAAGAGAACCCTGGTCAATTGTAGCTTTTTGTATATGCTACCTTATTAAGATTTTTGCTGCCTCTTTATCTTCACTGTTAGTTACAAGTATTTAAGTGAACATGAACTGAAAATTACACTAGAAAGAGTTTGTTCTTAGGCTTTGTTGTAAGGAATGCAACAGCATAAGGCCTTTTTTAGAGGTGTATGATTTCCATATATCATCAGTTTATTAACCAAGTAATTAATAGTTGCCTCACTCATGAAACAACCACTCTGCTTTGTGCTATGATAAAGCTAGGTTGCTGAATTGGAAGGTAACAGATGTTTTCACACTGCAGTGGTCTTTGAGGCTCAGGAGGAGCAATATGCTTGGCCCAAAACCCTATGGGTTTTTTGATTGTTTGTTTTATACAGAAATGTTGCCAGAAATTATGTTCCTCTTAATTTGGGACATGGTTCTTAAATAAACTTACTGGAATAGAGTCTAGTTATTTGATGCAGCCTAACTCTCCCATGTCATCCCGTGTTATTTATAAGCCTGCTAAGCAGATGCTGTTGTACTAAAGTTATAATTAGATTTATATTACTAATCGTTTCATATTAGCTAGGACTGTGACTGAAACAGAACCATGCTTCATGGTTTTCGTGTGGCAGAAAATCGGTACAATGAAGTGTTAGCTTAATTTTTTATGCCAGATTACATCTTTTTGGAAATCATTCTGCCCTTTGTAGGGCAGCCTTTATTGCTGAAATTTACTTCAACGTGAATGATAATATTTAGCGTGCATGCTTTATTTCTGTAGCTATCAGACCTGTTACTATGTTGGTGTATTTTAATGGCTGCTTCATAGTTTGCAATTGTTTTCAAAATGCAGGGGTGAACCATAAAATCCATTATTCACTGGTGAACTCTGCAGAGGGCCAGTTCTCTATTGATGAATTCTCTGGAATTATTCGGTTGGAGAAGCCTTTGGATCGGGAATTACAAGCTGTGTACACTTTGACATTGAAGGCTACAGATGAAGGTTTACCTAGACGACTGTCTTCAACAAGTAGTCTTATAGTTTCTGTTTTGGATATAAATGATAATCCACCTGTATTTGAGCATAGGGAGTATAGTGCAAGTGTATCAGAGGACATTTTGGTTGGAACTGAAGTTCTCCAGATCTATGCTGCAAGCAGGGACATCGAAGCCAATGCTGAAATCACATACTCAATAGTCAGTGGGAACGAACATGGAAAATTCAGCATCGATTCAACAACAGGTAACAGATTACAGCCGTGAATGTACTTTAGGCTAACCAAGCACAGTGCCATACTGCATTCTATAGTAATTCAACCGAACAGATTATTGTATGTCTATTCTACGTGCGTCATCCTGGCTGTAAAGCCAGCACTACTGTCTGTTCATCCATTTAGCCAGCATGCTTCCTAGAGGAGTGCAGTAGTTTGTAGAATAGGAACTTCATTTGTTGCTGCTATTTATTGTTATTTGGGTTAGATTCATTTAAACTGGCAAGAATAAGGGTTTCCTAGCCGGAATATTCTCCACCCTGGGGGCAGAGGAGGTGGAAAGACATAGTTCTGTAATGATAGAAGCATAACAGTCTTTCCACAGAAGCTATATAATCAGAATGAGTGGGCAGACTTGGGAAAAGAAAGATCAGAAATTAAATGGACTGGGAAAACTAGTCAATGGTCCACAAAGACAGTCATTCTAGAGGAGTTTGATACGGCATTAGAGAGAGTTTGGAATATTCCGTTCAGTCATATCCAGCATGACAGTGGAGATCTTAGGCTTGCATGTTAGTCAGATTTAGTCTCAGGAAGTGCTTGGGTTCTGTGGAGAATTGTTCCCTATTAATGACAATTCCGTGTTAAAAGTCAATGTACACCCCAATTCTAGTTTTGTGTTCTTATAACTTCTTTTTCTAGAGTTAATTTCTGGTAAAGCTGGGGGGTTTTTTTTAAATAAGATTTCTGCCCAAAAGCTAATAGTAGTTAGTTATACCAGTGTAATTGAAATTACAATTCTTCCAGCTGCTTTTTCCAGTGTGCACTCTGGTACTATGGTTTAGAAGTACTTTGCCAGTTTAGCTTCTTATTTGAAAGGAGGAAAAAGGTTCCAGGAAAACACTCTTCCAGCAGCAAATCAGTGTGTATGTTAGGGATGGCACTATTTTAACTACTCTGTTAAAAATTCACACTTTAACTCAGATTTTTCCTATGAATCAAAATTCATGATTAGACACTTCTGTTACTACCTCTGCATACTCCATGCCTGACCTTAATGTTGGTTGCAAGGAAAGTCAGATTAAAGGTCACTTCGTATTTTTGGTTAATTTTCATTGAAAATTAATAAAAGGACATTTTCTAAATGCATTTTTTATTTTTCTTCATTTTTTTCATTACAGAATGTGAGCCAGGTGGTTTTAAAGTGTGAGTCCTTGGTGGTAATGGCAGGATCTTCTCATCTTTTTACTTTTATGTGTAGCGCCTGATCATTTCTTTGTGCAGCTCCAGTTTTACAGTGAAAAATCAAGCCCTGAAGAAGCTGAATATTTGTCAGACTGAAATTAAAAGTTGCAATATATAATACTACAGTAACAGCAGAGTTCATGTGAGGTTTTTTGGTTTTTTTTCTTCCCTAGGAGCCATTTTTATCATTGAGAGCTTGGATTATGAAAGTTCTCATGAGTACTACTTGACAGTGGAAGCCACAGATGGAGGCACCCCTTCATTAAGTGATGTGGTAACCGTGAATATTAACGTAACAGATATCAATGACAATACTCCAGTGTTCAGCCAAGACACTTACACTGCAGTAATCAGTGAAGATGCTATGCTTGAACAATCAGTCATTACAGTACGTATTGTTGGTTTTTTTCCTTTTAAATAATCTGTCGTGACAATCATGCTTTTAGTCTGGAAGGAATAAATATTGCTTTGAAGATGGACATAAATGAATAGATAAGTTTGCCACTGAGTGAATTGAAAATTTATTTTGAAAAAGTTTCAGGACCAGGGACTTGAGACGCTATGGGAAAATAGGTGAAATATTGTGATATATTTGTGTTCTCCTCATGAGAACATGATTTCATTTTCAGAAGAAATCCAGGAAATTAAGTGATGTTGGTATGTTCTATTTGGATGACATTTCTCCTGAGAACTATGAAATGTGTTAGACCAAAACAGCTGTGCTCATCTTCAGGATGCGTTTATCTGAAAGATGAGAGAGTCTATTTTGACCTCTTTTAAAAGAGACTGTAATGTCCCTTAGGTTATGGCAGATGATGCTGATGGACCTTCAAACAACCACATTCACTACACAATTATAGATGGCAATCAGGGAAATCCTTTTACAATTGACTCTACCAGGGGTGAAATAAAAGTGACTAAACTTCTAGACAGAGAAAAGGTAAGTTTTTGATGCTTTTTGAGCAGTTGGGATTAATTCAGCTATACATAGTTGATGGCCACCATTTTTTGGATTTTATTTGTAAATTACCATTTCAAGTGTTCCAAAATTAATACAGCTGTAACAAAGTGAAAGCATCTATTTATGTCCATGCTTTTTGGGGTGGGGGGCATCTGGGGGGGGAAGAGAAAGGATTAAATATATGAAGGCAAGTTTTACTGGAGGGTGGCACTAAAAAATTTCTTCCTTAAAAGGAAAGCTGACTTTGCTACTCTTTGTTCCTTAGTGAATGTTTGAAAATTTTTTTATTATTTCTTAGATTTCAGGATATACCTTGACAGTTCAAGCTTCAGATAACGGAAACCCACCTAGACTTAACACAACCACAGTTAATATTGATGTTTCTGATGTAAATGATAATCCTCCAGTATTCTCAAAAGGAAACTATAGTGTTATCATCCAGGTAAATGCAGATCATGAAGTAGTCAAATCAGTAATATTTTTGGAGTGTTAATTTGTGACTTGAAAAATTCTGCAAGCTATGGTAAGCCTAATGCTTCAATTTTATTTTTCTGTATTTTTGATTATTTAAGGTTGTCAATGAGACTGCTTACCTGAATAAGTGTTAAGGATCACGAAATTCATATTGTGCAGTCTATCTAGAAACTTACATTGCAAACTGAGCGTGTTCTTTTTCTCATGTACTTCCTTTGTGTACATGTGTGTATATATATTATGTGTAGCATTTATGTTTATAATGTTCTTAGCATCATACAGATAGGTTGAAATACATAATAATTTTGCTATTTCTTTTTAATCTTAGAGTTACTGCTTAGAAAAAGATACTCTAGATACTTATTACTGTGAAGCAAGTGTTGTGCACTGTGGCACATAGTTCAAGACTTAATTCTTATGGGCCTTCTTTGAGATCAGAAGCAGTTAAAACAGGAGTAGTATTTCATGTTGCTACCTACCAATCCTTTGACTAATTTTGCACCTTATGATGGTGGTAGTGGGCCAGATTCTCAAATGGCTGGCATGTACTTGCCTGATTCAGAAACCTTTCTGCTAAAGCAAAGGTAGCAGAGGCAGAGTCTGTACTTCTTCCTGAATCCAATAGAGGATAAATGGAAGGGAACAATGGAGTTGCATTAAGACCTTTGTACTGGTAACATAAGTGAGCGCAGTCCCTTGGGTCCTTTTGCTGGTGCTGGTGCCTGGCCTTGTGCAATAGGTGACTGGGAATCAGGCAGTGTTATCTGGTGCACCGTGCCATCCTAACATACTGCCTCTGTTTGAGACCGTGTACGTGATTTGTAAAGGTAGCTTTCCGAAAGAGGACAAAGTGATTCATCACTACCCAGCGTATATAGAATAAGCAAGTAAGATGTCCTGGACCTTTTTTTTTTTTTTTTTTAAAGTAACAGATTTGTATGTTTGTGTCCTGTCAAAGGTATTTTGCTTTCCCCAATTACAATCTCTCTTGAAGCGAATATTAATTAACGTATCCCTTAGAACTGTAGACTATACAACCGATGTCTGTAATGTTTCCCTTACTCAATTAAAAAGGAAGACCTTGTGTTTTATAGTTCATTCATATCAGCCTGTCCCAGTATGAGGGTAGCAGAGAAGAAGCTGGAGGAGTTGCCCAGGAATGCTGGTGTGCATTTCCTGATATACTGGATATGGACATATTTGGATACAGTTGGAAATGCACTTAGCTATTATGAAAATCAAATTACTTTGGATGGCCAAATGTAAATATTTGTATTTTTAAATGATGATGATGATCCTTGTCTGTTTTACTGAAGGGGAAGAAAGCTTCAGTTGCAATATCTGATAATTAGCTTGACTTACTCTCTCAAGAACAAAGAGTATGCTTATTATTCGGAGGTTGTGCAACTGCAAAAGGATAGCATTTTTTTATTGTTGTACTTCTCAATAACGCTTCTACTCTTTTTTTCATTTAAAAAATTATACATATATATATATAAAAAAAAAAAATCTGGTCAATACGAATATTTTGGGAGAGGTGTTACAAGTGTTAGATAAGGTTGTGTGTGTGTATCACATACATGGTGAACCAAAGCTGTGAAGTGTCTGTGAAACCTCAGGCATCCACACAGTGCAAACTTGAAGGGATTTTATGATGCAAATTTTAAAACCTGGATTTCATATTTTAACTGGACTGTGGCTGTAGCAGCCACAAATGCAGTCAGAACACTAATTAGGGACACAAAGGGTCAGATGGAGGAATGTGTTTTTCTAGTCCTCCCAGCAAAAGCATGGGATTATTCTTAACAGGTGTTTTAGCTGACTTTAATTACCAAGTCATCAAATATTTTAATCTACCATAATCTTAATTCATACCAAAAGTGGAACATGTAAAGTTTCAAGGCTGAGCTACTTTTAAATATATGACAGAGTTAAAAAAACCAAAGTTTAAAAAGGTAGTCTTTCTCCTTTTACTGTTTTCATCATTATTTTCAGAGGGTAGTATTTTTCCTTAAGCAATATTGTCATTCTGATTGCTCTTATACTGATTAACGGGTTTGATGGTAATTTGATCATTATTTTTTTCTGTTGTGAAAAAGAAATCAATGTTAGGCTCTGTGCTCAATTGTAACAAAACCAATGTGGTTGTATTATGCGTTTATAGGAAAATAAGCCTATTGGATTTAGTGTGCTACAGCTAGTGGTGACAGACAAGGATTCTTCTCACAATGGCCCTCCTTTTCTCTTCACCATCCTGAGTGGAAATGAAGAGAGCACTTTTCAGATTAACCAGCAGGGAGTACTGACAACAACTGCCGCGCTGAATCGCAAAGTGAGGGATCACTATTTACTTCATGTTAAGGTAGGATGCACTGCCTCTAGCTGTTTCACTTTGTAAGTATTTAGTTAACTTTTCCCACTCATGCCCAATCCACCGCTTTTTCCTACCTACCCCTTGTCTTTCTGTTACAAGATCCTGACATGCCAAGTAGGCATTTGAGACATGTCCCTAGTGGTAACATCTTCAAAGACAAAGTCCATTGATTTAAATGGAAATCCATAGGGTTGTAACAGTAAGCTGAATTAAACTCATGGGAAGGGTGAGGTGTAAGTGAAATGTTAACTGGGTGAGTGGTCTTTTGCCTTTCACGTGGGGTGCTTCAAAAGCCAGCAGGGTACAGGTCCCTTGAGCCACCTACTATTGGCTGCAGACTTCCGCTTGCCACTGCCACTTTGACCCTTGAAGCTGTGAGCTGGGCTCCACTGATACAGTGGAAACAGGGAATTCGAAAGTTGCACATCATGGCAGTACTGAAATATTTTTCTGTAGTGCCACATTTTTTTTCTAATGGCAATTGAAAATACCTCTTTTTTTTTAAGTTTGGAAAACCAGGTCAGTGGACCTTTGTTACAGCTTTGAAACTTGCAGCACCGTACTCGGAGATCTCAGAATCTTGCAGTGGAAAATGCAGCATAAAACTCAAAAATGACCCTGAAATGCTGTAATATATATGCCTACATTTGCCATTGTTGTGCCAAAAGACCAGACCATGTCCAAAAATCCAGGTTACATGATCATAGCTAAATTTCTCTAAAACACATTTTTTGTAACCTAATGTAAGAAAAGTTCAAAGCAATTTTTTTATCTTACCCAGTCCTTTTAAATGCAGTTATAAATCAAGCAGCTGTGAACAGGGGACTTAAAATTGGTAGGCTTAAAATAGCTGGCCTTAATTCTTAAACTTCATTTCCAGATTCGTGTTTTAAGACAATTTCTTTCCTTTATTTTTACATGAGGAATTTCTTTCAGTCTCCAAATTATTCTCATACATAATATTGCAAGACAATTTCTGCGTAAATATGCACTTGCAGAATTTGAGCAGTACTGTCTGTGTCAGTGGATACTGAATTCTGTCCACATTGGGATAATAATCATGGTGTATTTACACAAAGTCTATCTCTTTTCTTTGGGGAAGGAAAAAAAAATTCCCACAGTTACTGTCATTTGCTGGTTGAGTCACTCATGCATCTTATCAGGAGCCATCAGTATAAGAACCAGCATAGGTACAGGTTTCATTTAAATAGTTTAGGGTTTAAGAATTCATATTAAAAAGCGGGCAGGGAGGTATATCATTCCTCTGTTAGCCATTTTTTTCTCAAGTGATCTGCTAATTAGTGATCTGCTAACAGATTAGCCTTCAAGGTACCTAAGCGATGGCTCTGTTGACCTTCCTAGGCTGTACGAGTCCAAAACAGCAGTAGAGCTGGGCTTTGTCACGCTTGCCTAATAGGCTTTCCAGGTTCTATACTGATTCCCCAAAGTCACCTTTTTGTTTAGGGAAGAAGAACCGGCAGTGTTTTTCCTGTATGTGCAATCAGTGTAATACAAGATTCATATGTTTTATTTTATATTTTCTCTAAGCAGTAGCTAATTTCTTTTTATTTTGCTTCTAAAAACATATTCCTATGAATGCATGCACAGGCAATTATGTCTGGTCTGCGTAGACTGTTAGGCTCTCTTTGTCACATTTCATGATTTAGCTGCACCTTTGTTCCTTCCTAACATATGACCCTTGCTTCTTAATTATGGCCCTTCCTTCTTAAGTATGAGGCACCTACCTAACACCTTCCTCTGGGTGGAATCACGCACTTCTTCCATTTCCAAGCCACTTCCTAGGCTGTAGGATGCTTGCAAACAGCCTGTCAGTACTTCAGCTATCTTCTCTTTAGCACAGCACTTGAAAAGTCCCTCTTTTCTAGGGAATGAATAAGGGCCATTTTAATGGCATCCAGTAACTAAACAAGTGTCTTAAAACAAATGCGCTCATTTAGAACAAAGGCTTCTCAGAGATTGTAAATCATTAAAGCAGACTATACTAATGTGCATATTTTGTGTGCTGTACTACCCAGTCTCGGTATTTTGGACCTGTCTAATCCCTTGACTTACAAGTTCCATGCCTTGGATTCTGGAAATATGTCACTGTCTTTTAATTGCCATTTATCATCTTATACTATGATAGCTTTTTTTACATAGATACAGTGCTATAATTTGCTATTATCTTCTCCTTAGTGAGTCACTATACATGAGCATGAAGGCATCTAAAACTAAAAGTAGCATTTCCATATCACAAGACTTTGGTTCCAATGATACACACAAAAATAGATAACATGACTTTTGTGAAAAATGTTCTTTCCCTGTTCATTTAAAAGAAAGATTTTTCAAAGGCTGTAGGAAGGCATCTTCTCAAGTTTACACTGCCTTTAATTTCTGCACTTTCATCTCGCAGCTCACAAGTAAATGACTTTGTGTGGTCTCTTGATACTCATTTTCATTTTTTAACTGACCTTCACTTGTGTGCTTTTCAGTATTGACAGCTTTCACCATGGCTGCTTTCTGAATGGATTGCTGAGGCAGAGGTTGTCTTATGTTACAGGCATACTTTAACTGGAAATAAACCAAATAAGCCCCCCCTGCCCCAACCCCACAAATGACCCCTCCCACACACACCCCTCACACCCACTACCACCAAAAAACTGTACTTAACACGAGCCTTTCTTTTACTTTACTTCTGTGGTTTTAAAAGAATTCAGGATTTTTTTCCCAACAGCCACCTACATGTGCATGCCACTCACATTTGCTTTCCCTCTCTCCAAAGGAAATAGATTATCCATTAACAAACGTCTCACAGCATTAAGTGTGTGAAATCTTCAGCTATGAGTCATACAGTCCTTTGTGCCACACTCTGAAGTCTTTAGTTTAAAACCACAGCAGATTTTTCAATATCTGCACTATTGAAAAATCATTTCTCCTGGGGCTCTTCTTTCCTACTTGCCTGTCCGTTTGTTATAATTTTGCTTGCCTGTTTGTTTTGAGCCCGTTCTTGTTTCCCTTGGGCATTTCTCCTGTAGCTAAACTGCCTGCCTTGTCTTGTTTCCAGGCAGAAATCTAGGCAAAACAAAACTTTGCCAGCTTGAACTCCCTCTCTCTCTCGTTATTTATGTTTGGGTAACTAGAGGGCAAGTTTCTAGCCATGCCTGTCTTTCGGAGTTAATGGATGAAGACGTGTAGCTCTGCGAGACTTACATTACCTTTTAAAAATGCTACAATTGTGTGCACATCCACAGATAATCTTGTGTCTGGAGTTTTTCCGCTTTTGCTTAAATTTATGTAAAAAATCAGAAACAGCTTCTCTCCGTAGATCTTCAAAGTGTACAAACTACCTGTAGTCATTGTAAAATTCTTGTAAAATATTTTGAATGATGTGGGATATCTTCTACCTTCTGAGCCCTATGTACCTCCTCTGTCCCTTCACATCTCTCCAACTCTTCTTTGCCCATTTCTTTTGTCTCACTTCCAGTAACCAGGGAAGAGCTCTGGGAAAAAGGTAGATGGGAAACAAGAACTGAGAAACAGAAATAGAGAAACTGAACCTGAGGGAATGCTCTTTACTCACTTTTCTGCTCTGTTTTTTTTTTGTCCCCTCTTCATACAACGACAGTGTATGCTTTTGTGAAAAAGGGTGGAGGATAGGGGACATGATGTTTAAAAAGGCTTTAAAATTGAATTAGGCTGATCTTGTTAAAGATAATTACGTTAATTGTCTGATGCAAGTAGTATTACAGGTGGGGGTTTTTTTTTCCCTCCATGATCACAAATCATGGAAGACAACATAAGTAATTGTAACTTTCTACATGTATTGTTTTTCTTTTGAAGTCCTGTTTGGCCTACTGCATTTTAGTTTGTCTTCAAGACCACCTCCTAATAACTGTGGGGAAGCATATTGTAAATTTCTGGTGCATGACTCATTTGAAGTTTGTAATGTGTTTCCATGCTTGAAATAAAAAAGCTTCAAGCACCATCTGCTGTCTGAAACCAGCTGCTGTGCATTGCCTCTATATTTGCTAGAAGTGTTAGTAGCTTCCTGGCATTTCCAGGTATGAAGAGCACTGTAGCCTTTTAATCTTGGCAGAAGTGAAAACATGTTTGTGCATGCTTGCTTATATAAGCTTTTTACATTTTCAATATTAACTTCTATGTCAGGACCTGTGTTATGAAAATTTCATAAAGCATTTTCCCATAGGCACTTTTTTTTTGTAGAAAACTATAACTCTACTGTATACAGTACAAACATCTACAGTAGAATTTGAGATAAAGCAAAAATCTAACTCTGTGCTAATCTTCCTTTAGGTGGCAGATAATGGAAAACCGCCGTTGTCATCTTTGACTTACATTGATATTAGAGTTATTGAGGAAAGCATTTATTCTCCAGCAATTCTGCCTCTAGAAATCTTTATCACAGCCTTTGGGGAAGAATATTCAGGTGGTGTCATTGGAAAAATTCATGCAACCGATCAAGATGTTTATGATACTTTGACATACAGTCTGGACCCCAAAATGGAATCCTTGTTCTCCGTTTCCAGTACCGGTGGCAAACTGATAGCACATAAAAGGTTAGATGTAGGACAGTACCTTCTAAATGTCACTGTTACAGATGGAAAATTTACAACTGCAGCTGATATTACTGTACACATCAGACAAATCACACAAGATTTACTAAATCACAGCATTGCAATACGCTTTGCGAACCTTGCCCCTGAAGAATTCATCGGTGATTACTGGCGCAATTTCCAGAGAGCTTTAAGAAACATCTTGGGCGTGAGGAGAAATGACATCCAGATTGTTAGTTTGCAGCCTTCTGATCCTCCTTCAAATCTTGATGTCCTCCTGAATATTGAAAAGTCTGGTAGCTCTCAGCACCCAATGAGAATTCTGCTCCACAAGATAAACTCTTCTGTGCCTGACCTAGAGGAGATTTTAGGTGTCCGGATAATTGATGTTTTCCATAAGCTTTGCGCAGGCCTAGATTGTCCTTTGAAATTTTGTGAAGAAAAAGTAACAGTGGATGAGAACATCATGTCAACCCACAGCACAGCCAGGCTGAGTTTTGTCACTCCCCGTCATCACAGAACAGCAGTTTGTCTTTGTAAAGGTAAGAAAAGCAGTAAGGAAAACTGTGTCCTTGAAAAGATTGTTCTGGTTTTGAATAGCCCTAGTCCACGGGGGAAAGTTTATGTTACAGACCAAGATTAAGAAAGTTCTGTAACCCTCACTGCAGCATTTGCCTAATTTTATTCAGAGTAAAGAGTAATTCTTTCTTGCCTTATTGCCTCATGTTAAGAGTTTACATAATATAAGCTTATGGGAGGGGATTTTTTTTTTTATAGTTACACCTTCATTTTCCATTTTATGAAAGTAGTTCCTTTTTTTTGCTGCCTATTTTAAATTGCCAGCCATTTTCAGTCTTGTATGCACGGAAGTTCTTGCAACGTACCAGAATACTTCCTGGTTTCTGCTTCGAGGAATATTCTACGCAGCTTCCAGACTTGGCTGGGAATGACAGGGTGAACTGGGAGATTAATATTCATTAAGATACATATAAGTATACAGCTTTATAACAGAAGATTAATTTGTCTTTAGCTCTGAGGAAAACAACGTTTCTTTTTAAAATCATGACTTAACGTTGCTGGGTGACCTTGCACATCCTAAGTAAATATTTAGAGCCTGTTCCTTTTCTGTCTCAAATACAGACACGCTCTTCTCCTGCTCTCCCCAACCCACTCTGCCCATGTTTTTATATCTACATGGGGTTTTTTATGGTGTGCAATAGTAATGGTAAACCTTAAACTGCAACACCAGTTTCCAAATTTTACCGGTTGAATTGTTTGGGTAATCAAGATAACCATGAACATCAGCCACGGTATATGCCATTTGTCTAGCCTGTGTTTGTGCCAGTCATGCCCCGTAACTGTTACTTCACTTCCTTGTCTGATAGTTAGGAATATCATTTGGGTTGCTTTCAGCTACAGTACCGATGTGTCCCTTTTCACAAAATACCGTTACCACCAACAGAAGAGAAATAATGTATTTCATTTTACAGAAGGGAAATGCCCCTTGGTGAATAGTGTGTGTGAAGAAAACCCGTGCCCTGAAGGTACCGAGTGTTTAGGAGATCCAAAGGAAGGAAAATATACCTGTGTGTGCCAAGACAGCAAAGCTGGACAGTGTCCTGGTAAGAATAAACTCTAAAAATCTCTGTGTAAAACCATATTACTTTCCAAATATAAATTTGATTCCATTTTATGCTTTTCTCTATTCCTAAGCATCAGCTGGCTCTGCTGTGACATTTACTGGGAGCAGCTATGTGAAATACCGTCTCATGGAAAATGAGAACAAAGAGGAAATGAAGCTGACAATGAGACTTAGAACTTACTCTGCTCATGCAGTTGTTATGTATGCTCGAGGAACAGACTACAGTATCTTAGAGGTATATTAAAATCTACTGCGTATCTCCTCCTCTTTTCTTCTTACCACCTTCTTATTATTTCTTGTGCCAGATTAAAGGGTTGAATCATAACATCTCTGTAGAATTGTTAGAATTGAGAATTGCCTTCAAGGTACAGTGTGTTATACATCTAGGTGACAAACTTGTACGGGATTTTTTTAATGTGTAAAAGGAATTAGTTTTCTTTAATGTTTTCAAAACAAAACCCTGAATTACCTATTTTAAATAACAACTTCAAATTTATTTGCTTATAGGACTCATTAAGTCCATCCAGAAAAAGTCACTTAAAGCACAAGATAAAAGTTCTTAAAGTATTGTAGTATTTTGATGATGATCTGTGACTTCTTTACTAAAGCAAAAAATGTACAAAGTGTACATTTTAATTAAGAGAGCCACATAGAATGAGTCACAATCACTGCGACCGCTTGCAATACAATGTTATTAAACTGCCTTTTATGAACACCACCATCATCCTATCTCTCTGGCAAACATAAAATTTTATAGGCATCAATATTTTATACTCTTTAAGTGTGCAGACCATTTGTTGATGTTGTGGCTTTCCTCTATAGATTCACCATGGAAGACTGCAATATAAATTTGACTGTGGCAGTGGACCTGGGATTGTCTCCGTTCAGAGCATTCAGATTAACGATGGCCAGTGGCATTCAGTATCTCTCGAAGTGGATGGAAATTACGCACGACTTGTTCTGGATAGGGTGCATACTGCCTCTGGTACTGCTCCTGGTACACTTAGGACACTGAACCTAGATAATCATGTGTTTTTCGGTGGTCATATTCGGCAGCAAGGTACAAGACATGGTAGAAGTCCTCAGGTTAGCAATGGTTTCAGAGGCTGTATGGATTCTGTTGTACTTAATGGACAAGAGCTGCCCCTGAACAGTAAGCCACGAAATTATGCACACATGGAAGAATCTGTAGATGTGACTCCTGGGTGCTTACTGACTACCACAGAAGGTTGTTCAAGCAGCCCATGCCAGAATGGAGGCATCTGCAATGCACTGTCAAATGGAGGTAAGCTGTGCTATAGTCTTCTGCTGTTGGTTTTCAAAACTGCTTTTCCACCTCCCTGCCCTGAAGGACAAAACAACTTTGTGAATGATTCTTGCTTTCCCAGAGAGTTGTGGAAGGCTGGTTGTTGAGCAGGTAAGAAGGCTGGGTTTGCCTGTGCTCTAGACTCAGTTCCTTGGGGTATGACACAGTCCATCAGGCAAAGTGGGGATTTAATCTTCAGTGTCAACACTTGAGGTCCATCCTCTTAACTGCTTACTTCAGAATCTTCCCTTAAAAATCCTGAAATCACTGTGACAAGCTTGAGTTTTGTGAAAGAAATTGAAGTTATCCTTCAATCATATTCAAGAAAAACCTTACTATTAGACTTCCCTTCATCTTTTGATAAAAATATTTCTATTTCTTCCCATCCTCTTCCTCTTCGAACAGGTAGGTGGGCAGGGAGGATTTTATCTGAAATCCAGTAAAGTCATGTGTGTCTTTAAATAAGAGTGGTTTTGATTTCAGGTTACTACTGCAAGTGTGCACCTTTGTTTATGGGAACTCACTGTGATGTAAGTGTCAACCCGTGTGCTTCCAACCCCTGCCTTTACGGTGGTACTTGCATCCCGGTCAGTGATGACTTTATCTGCCAGTGCCGAGGACAATACACAGGCCAAAGGTATGTTTGTGTGGTTTATGGTGCCAATGGGCCCCTTAGAGAATAGGCTATGAATGTAACACTTTTTCTGTTTTCTGTTTTATCTGTTTCCTACTTAAAGCTCAGACTTTGAAACCCCCCTGGAGTTTGTTGAAGTTAAAGCCAACCCCTGTGTTACAGCCCTGAATCCCACACTATACGCTCCCTTGCAGTATGGTAATCGTTCATTCATGCTTCCCCCCTCCCTTTTTTTTTTTTGCCTTTGCAGGTGCCAGCTGGGTCCATATTGCAAAGACAATCCTTGTAAAAACAGCGGCAAGTGTATTGACAGTTTGGATGGACCTGTTTGTGAGTGTGAAGCAGGCTTTCGTGGAGAAAGGTAGGTCGTGTTCCAGATATGTGGATTTTTTTTTTTTAAAGCATTACTTAACAGTTCAAACTAGTTGAAACCTGGAACGTTGATAAAACAGGAAATTGCCTGGTAGTGTACAGTACTGCATATTAAATATATCTAGAATAGCTGAGAACACAGAGACTTCAACAAAGTACTGATGTAACTCGCCATCATTCTCTGCTCTGTTTCTGATAGGTGCCTGACTGATGTCGATGAATGCGTAGAAAACCCGTGTCTTAATGGCGCCCTTTGTGAGAATACTTATGGTTCATACCACTGCAATTGTAGCCGTGGATTTGGAGGAAAACACTGCACAGACATTGTTCTTAACAAATACGTTTCAACATCTTGGAACATTAGCTTAGCTGAAGTGATCGGGATTATTGTTTTCATCGCAGGAATATTCTTGTTGGTGGTCATTTTTGTTGTTTGCCGCAAAGTGATTAGTAGAAAGAAGAAGCACCAGCCAGAACCTGAAGACAAGCAACTGGGAGCTACAACAGCTTTCTTGCAAAGACCTTATTTTGATGCAAAATTGAATAAGAACATCTATTCTGACATCCCACCACAGGTTCCTGTTCGTCCCATTTCGTACACTCCAAGCATTCCAAGTGACTCCAGGAACAATCTTGACAGGAATTCTTTTGAGGGCTCTGCTATCCCTGAGCACCCAGAGTTTAGTACTTTTAACCCAGATTCTGTACATGGTCACCGGAAAGCTGTAGCTGTTTGCAGTGTAGCACCAAATTTGCCACCTCCACCTCCCTCCAACTCTCCTTCAGACAGCGATTCCATACAGAAACCCAGCTGGGATTTTGACTATGACAGTAAGCAATGTTCTTATTTTATTGCCTTTCTGTTAAAGGTGTGTGCTGGTACAATTTTAATATGAGTGCAAAGTCGCTGTCTGTGCCTGTTAGGATACAAAAAGCACTACGACTTCACTGGGCTTTGAGTTGGATCGGGCTTCGTGCTCTATTTAAAGTTTTGCCTTACATTTTATTGACTCTCCAGTCTAGAATCTATCAATCATCTCACTTGAAACTTTTTCTTTCAGCTAAAGTAGTAGATCTTGACCCCTGCCTTTCAAAAAAGCCTCTGGATGAAAAGAACTCCCATCCTTACAGTGCTAGAGAAAGCATGTCTGAGGTCCAGTCTCTCAGCTCCTTCCAGTCTGAGTCATGTGATGACAACGGTACGTAACACAACCGTTCTGTACTGCCGCTTACATTCATTTGTTCTGTCTTTGCATCTGTATCTCTTAGTATCAATAGGACTTGCATATATTGAATATATATTAAATAATAGCTTATTTAATATATATCTGTATTTACTTATGTTAATACCCAGATGTGTTAATTTTTTTAAGTATTTTGCCTATCTTACACCTTGTGTTAATTATTTACCTTAGAATTATATATAATCATTCTGCTGTTAGACTATTAACACTGCAAATGCAGCAGAAGGTGTTCAGAGCCTTGTGCTTAAAGGTGTTAAAAGCGTGTTCAAATTTGAGAAACTCTTCTAGGTAATCATTAGTTACCACCTTATACAAGAATACAGTGAATTAAATAACGGCCTCTGCACAAATATAACTTTCGCTTTGACGTTCAGCTCTCAGTATAAAGCTTTCTGGTGTTACAGTTTCATTTGTTTCCTTCTCTTTTTCTTGCTGCGACCTCAGCTCCCATATGGATCAGATCAGTTCTGAGTGAGAGCAGAGTTTAAGGGACTGCTTGTAAGTTTGATTACTTTAGTAATGAAGGAAGCTGCACAAAAAGGAATTTTGTTATAGTAGAACAGTATATTTGGCTTTCACCATGATTAAAATGAATTCATAAAAATAATTCAGACATTGAAAAAAGCCAATATAAAAATACAAATATTTTTATCACAACTCCAGTCTGTCCAAATATAATCAGCATACATATTTGTGGGGATTATTATTATTAATTGGCAGTCTTTTCCTGTTCCATTCTGATGACAGATGCTTTTACAGTTGATATGAATGCATCTATGTATTCAGAAACATTTCAGACTGATTGGACAAAGCCACAGTTGTCTCATAACCTAATTGACTAAGTTAAGGTGTTTTGACTCCTTACTCCAATTTCTGCTTTTGTCTGCGTATGGTAAAAAGAATTTGAAATTCCTTTAGCTTAGGACTAAAGAACATTCTGCTTCTCAACAAAGCAGAGTGATTTGTTCTTAACAGCGTGAACAGAAACATCTGTGTTAATGATTGGTGAAAGTAAAATGGTGTGCTTACAGTACTCATCATTCTACCAGTAGATCTGGTATCAACTTTCAACTTTTTTGCTGTGGTATTAAGTGTTGTGCGGTACATGTTGTTCTCCCCTCCATCCATCCCATATATTTCATACATTCTTACATTTCTTGTCATGTATTGATTAGTCGTTAAAATGTCATTTTAAGATAAATGGCTGTAGCATCATAGATATTGTTCCTTCCTTCCTTTTTCGTTCTGAATTTATTAGTTTAAAATTTAAACCCCGAGCCATGCAAACAAATTGCATGTGTTTACCTCATCCTACCCTATAAGAGTAAATCCTTCTCCCTTCCAAAAGTATCTTGGGAAAGGGAAGACATTAAAAAATACATTTGTTTGGGCTGTTTTTAAATAAGAATGTCACAACCTGAGTTTGGTATTCCTACTGCAATACCACTGCTTGCACACAACTTAAGTAGGTCAGCAACAGAAGCTTTCCGTCAATATTTATCATATTCTAGCATTTTAGTTCATCTCAGTGAAAATTTCTTCCCCTGGTTGGGGTGGGGAACGTAGTTTGCAGTCTAAAAGGGGAAGCCTCTAATGCAATACTCCTTCATTCACCCAACACAATCCTTTAGAAAAGCCTGATTTGTTGCTACCTAGATGAAGGATATGCAAATGCTATGTTTAGGCAACATTTCAGAAATTCTAACACAACTAAGGCAGCTTTGTGCTCATGCAGAATTTGCTTCAGGATTAGTTACAAGTATTTTTCCATGTTTATCAAGAATAAAATTCAGGTTGAGAGATGTATTTTATATACTATATGCAACTGCTTTCTAGAGAGAGAGTGAATATATATGTACACCAATAATCTTGCTCTATAAAATAGTAATGAACTGCAATTTTACAGTGTTTTTTTGTATATCTGTGTGCTGTTTAAAGTGATACTAACTATAGGTTTGTTTTAATTTGCTCCTTTTATACCTTTTACAAGCTTCCGTAGTGACTGTAATACACCTTGTCAATGCTGTTGTTGACTCGGTGGAAAAAGAAGGTATATACTTGTTTTCATATTTATTTACTGCTTTGGCAGAATAATGCACGTTTGTCTTCTAGCAATGTAGCCCTAGCAGATGGGAAATATAAAATATTTACTTGGTCTTCCTGATAAGTTTTAGAAAAGAATATATTTATATTGTATATCTGTTTGTATTTTCATGTGTATGCTGTAGCTACGCTGTGAACAAGTTTCAAAGTGTGATTTCTTGGGGGAAAAAAAAAGTATTGGCATAAAAAGATCTTGGTGCTTACTCCCTTCTGAAAATATTCACACTAAAGCTCCCAGCAGAATTGAGGCAGCATCAAAGGCAATTACATATATTACTGTAGATGAAAAAGCAGCAGCCCCCGCTTGCTTTTCCCCTCCCACCCACATCTCTTGGCACCTTGTCCAGCTGAGCAGAACGGGAGTAGTCTGATATCAGTACTCACTTCCCTGCTCTTCAGATCAATCAGTCTCTTCAGGAGAAAAAAAATATTTCTAGTATGCAGTTGAGGTCTATAGGCATACACATCCCTATCAGTTTTTAAGTAGGTAGTTACTACCCAGTCTTACCTTGGCGTCTAAAAGGTATGTTTGGGTATATATATACATATGTACATATACATGTATGTATATGTACACACACATATATTGGGGTGTGTGTAGTTAGAAAGAGGTGAAGTAGACATTTTCAATGGAATTTTATTTCTTTTCTGCTAACGGTTAAGAACTGACCACTTTAGAAAATACAAAATCTTTACAAAATAATAGTAGTAAGAAAGGTGCCAGTGAGTCCATACAAAAGCCAACTATTGTTTTAATTGGCTTAAAAATCCGTAAAGTTCCAGTAATGTGCAAATAGTTCACTCCATGATCGTGAGTCTGCAGAGGTTACTTCTGAAATAGCATCTATGGTGTATGTTTCCTATTTCTTAATACACACTAGGAAGCCCTACTTTTTATTAAGTCCTACTTGAAATGAAGCTATTTTAAGAACATAGAATTAATTATAGTGGCTGAAGATTCTCTGGTTTGTTATTTGAAGTACATCCTGTCTAATGTATGCAGACATATAAAAAAGTAGATAAATGCAGACTTCTAATTACATGAGAGTATTTCATTAATGTGTACCTACAGACCATAGCTCTCAGGGCTAAAAAATTGTAATGCGCAGTACTTATGAAAGGGAGAATTTTAAGACTGGAAGAGGCAAAATCTATCAGGGAAAATATTTTGTAACTTACTCAGATTTTCTCTGAGATTTTAATTGGTAGAAACTAAAAATCATGGATGTCGTTCTCAAGTCAAAGTGGAAAGTATGCTTGGTGGTTTAGTGTCACTATAAGATAAATACAAATATTTTATGCATTGCAGAATAGTTGTAGAGAGATTAAAGATGCCCTGCTCAGCTACTTCTTAATGCTTGGAAGCTTCTACTCTTAAGCATTCCTTCTCGCAAAGCATCTTAGTGTAAAGAGTTCTGCTTTTGAGCACCCTTGGGAGGGTGCCGGTTCAAGCAGCAGAGATCCTTGCTCCAGCCTTCAGCAAGGTCAAGTTCTGGGACAGGGGTCTGTTAGTTCAGTCTCCCCAGGTGGTTCTGTCCAATAGGCATCCTGACAGCGCGCACTGTGGCTGGTCTCATCCTAGGACAGCTGTAGGCCTGCATTCTCTGCACTGCTCCTCAGGGCAGGTTGTAGCTCCATGCAAATCAAGACGAAATACAGTTCCAGTCTAGCAGATGGTCACCGAGAAAGATGGGCACATCAGGTTCTAGTTTGTGTTCCTGTATTTTATGCTAAAGGGTCTGTGCCTCAGAAGAAGAGGACAGGACTGAGATGTCCCTGTTCCTTGGTAAAAGTGCTCTCAATCATAAAGCCTATTGGCTTTGGTTTTGCACCCAGTTTCCCTAGAAAAATGAAGAATGTAGTCTTCAAAGTAGACCAGTGGTCAGAACCTTCTCTTGGAGATGAGGTTGGAGGTGTTTTAAGAGTCTTAAGACCTCAGACTGATACTTCCTTTAGAGAGAACAGCATTTTTCTTGTCTGGGCTAGGCAAGCTTAAAAAAAAAAAAAAAAAGGGAAACCGTCCCCAAGAGTCAACCCCAGTCCCTCCAATCTTCCAAGATGAATAGATAAAAGCATAAATTCTTAGAAGGTTCTGGTATTAGGCTAGGCATTGCCCATCCTTACAGACCTGAATAGGTAAGATAGATTCCTGAAGAGAGAAAGGTTTAAAATTTATCAGATAACACAGACCACAGGCCAGTTCTCTGTGAGCTGTTGGGTTTGCTGTGCCAAGGGGGGCAGGTCTCCAAGAACACAGTGTACAGAAGCTAAATATGAAAGGGAGAGTTCCCATCTTTGCATGAGATACTTGAAAGTATAACTCCTAATAGATACAGCCCTGTATCAAAAAACAAGGGGGGATACAAGGAAAGAAAAAAAATCAGACCAAGTCTTGTTGCCCTTTTTAGCAGAAGTCCTAAATCTACCAATACGGGGATTTCAGCAAACTACAGACTTGCAGATTTTGCCATGAAGCAGCCGTGTCCCAGGTGGGCTGTACGTTAACTCAGTAGCTATTCTACAGATCGAGTCTAACAAAGAAGGAGCCCAGAAGGAAAAAAAAAAAAAAAGCCAACTGTAGTACTGCTAAGTAAACTGGACAAAAGCAGCATGAACATCATAGTGACAGTCATTGTTTGTCTTCACATCAGTTCTACTATTTGATTCCTAACTACAGATGTTTTCTCCTTTTTCTTCTCATTCTGCCACCTAAAGAATCTTTTGCTGTTCCTGACCTCAGCAATTCAAGAGGTGACTTCTGCATGCAGTTCATTGATGTTCACCGAAATATTTCTGTTAATAATTGGTTTTAACACGGACTTACTCTCAGTTGCTTGCCGTGTATTTGTCTGCAGTGATTACTCTTTACTAGATTTGCACCTTATTACAATTGTGTATTATTTTCCTTTTTTTTGGTGTTCAGTTGAGAAAAAGTTATTTTTTAATGAGATTAGGCTTACATCTAGTTTTCAGCAGATAAATATAAACTTAGTCAAGGGGAGTTTGCAAGAGAGGATCAAGTTCGGTCACTTATGCATGATTAAGCTTGATTTCCCTGTTTTGTTCTTGTATTTGAATGTGGAATGTCTTTACTAATAGTCAAAGACTTTTATCAGAGATGTGGAAGTTAGTGTAGAGCTAACAGCATTTTGTGACATCAACTTTACAATTCAGTTAAGGGGTAAAGTTGCTTTAAATGGTCTGTATACTTTACCAATTAGAAATTACTACTTCTGTGTAAGAAAAGCATGGTTTATATATGCTAAATATATTCTTAAGAAAAACAGGCAGCTATTATCACACTAACTGTAATTACTCAACAACAATTGATTAAGCATTTAGCTGCACCAGGGGGAGGCTGTTGGTTCTTTGCTATCCAGTGAACAATTTTATACCATTATGTATTGTGACAGCACATTCCATAGGTGACCTACAGCTCTTCCCATGTTAGGTGAGATGTCTGAGAAAATGTAAAAGTTCAAGTGTGAATGATGCAATATCTAATGCATGGCATAATGTAAAGTTGTGTTGTATGTCTTTTGTGGAACCGGGGCAAATTGCTCTCTAATTAACAAGTAGTGTCCTAATCACAGTGACTGCATTGTCTTAATTACATGTGTTGACTTCTCAGTTCAGACTGACTTGAAGACAAGATACTGATACTACTTTTTTTTTTAAAAAAATTAACTTTTCAGGTTATCACTGGGATACATCAGACTGGATGCCAAGCGTTCAGTTGCCAGGTATCCAAGAGTATCCAAATTATGAAGTGGTTGAGAAGTCAGTTCCTCTCTACACGGATCCAAACGCCATCGATACAGACTATTACCCTGGCGGTTATGACATAGAAAGTGATTTTCCACCTCCACCGGATGACTTCCCTGCACCTGATGAGCTTCCACCATTACCACCAGAATACAGTGACCAGTTTGAGTCAATACAGCCACCCAGAGACATGCCAGCCGTAGGTAGCTTGGGTTCTTCTACAAGAAGCAGGCAGAGATTTAACCTTAATCAGTACCTTCCCCATCACTACCCTGCAGACATGTCCGAACCTCAGACCACAACCAGTGGCGTCAGCGGCAGTTACAGAGAACCTTACGCTCCTTACACATTAGGGTACAATAGAGACTTTGAAGCACCCACTGTAGACAACATGTCCATGTCTGTGTATGCTTCCACAGCTTCATGCTCTGATGTGTCAGCATACTCTGAAATAGAGCCTGAAGTCATGATGAGTGACTATGAGAGCGGAGACGATGGTCATTTTGAAGATGTGAAAATTCCTCCACTTGATTCCCAGCAACACACAGAAGTCTGACACGTTCAACAAAGTGCCTGGACTCTAACAAACTTGATCAATTCTAGAACAACTTTCAAAAGCTTTTTTATTTTTTTTCTTTTTCGCAGACACAGTGAATGCTTTCATTTCGGTGAGCTAAACTGGCATGGCAGCACTGGATCATGCAGTTCATTTCACTAAATCAGCCTGCTTCCATTTCCTGACCTACTGTAATCAGGACAGTTCCAAGATTTCCATTGGCTGTGCCATTTCTGAACATCCTTTTTGTACTTACTTACATTGTCTATGTTAAAAAAAAAATCGCATACCACTTCTCCATGTTAGCATGACGCATATATTTATATAGTTCTAATGCAATTAATTTTCTCCTACTTTTTGTAAATTTTATGTACAGTTTTGATTTTAATAGTTTTAACTAGATTTTGTAGATATTTTGTGAATTTGTTTTCCACTGAAACTAGTGGTGTTAGTGTGCCATGAAAAGCTAGCACCCTGACTTATTATAATCAGGGCATCGCTGTATGTATTCCCCTGAAAACAAAGGTTTCACATTTCATTATATAAAATTCAACATGTTCACACAATTCCAGTTGTACAGAGGTTAGGTCTGATATTTTTCTGGGTCAGCTACATGGAAATGTCTTAAATGGGTTGCTGTATTTTAGAACTGTAAACATTTTTTCCCTTCTTGGAAAGTGTGTTGGGGACCCTCTACATACCAGTTTAGAACCAAAACCACCATGACACAGTTTTTATAGTGTCTGTATATTTGTGATCCAATGGTCTTGTAAAGGTTTTTACTGAAAATTACCATTAGCCAGTCTTTCTTACTGACAATAAATTATTAATAAAATACTTTAGCTTTGCTCTGTGTATCTCTATTATATAATATCCAATTGACAAAGCATTCAGTGCAGCATTTTTAAGTAAGTCTGTATATGTTTTGTACTGTATTAAGTTACTTGCTCCAAGCAACACATTTTCCTCTCCTCAGAAATCAAACTGCAGCAATGTTAGAGATGCTCACTAGATGGCAGTGTCTGTCTACTTAATGGTGTTTTAAAAAAGTAATCGGGCCAGTATGAATAAAGATTGATGGGTATCAAACTTCAGTAGCCTTCTCACTAGTTTGCATTTTTCTTTAAACATCTAATGTCAGCTATGTAAATTACCGAGTATTTTTCCTGATGTCCCAAAAATATACACAGAAAAAGCCTCAAGCTCTTAAAGCAGTTTCTTCCTTTCTTAATCACTGCAATAGTTATTTTCATGAATAGTTGTCCCTCGATAGTATACTTGCATGCTGAAGTTTCTGTTCCAGTTTCTGAGTTTGTGCTAAATACATTGGAGGTTTTATGCAGTTATATTTCAGCTGCAGTTTCTTGCATTAAGTTCACACTAGAAGTTTATCTTTAAAAAGTCAAGACAGGAGAGTTTGCCTGTATATTAGCCAGCTGCTCTTCTGGAAAAGTACAAAGCCTCTAACAAAGTTCTCTAGCATGTGTGCCCTGATGGTAAGCTAAAGGAGTGAGGTAACAGTCTTCTGCCTCTTGCAAGAGGGACGCATTTTAAGTTTGGAACAGATTTCCTGGCACATCAGTGAATTTTAACATAGCCTGGAATGCTTTCAGCTCCACCTCCATTTTTTTTTTACATACTGTGTCAAAATTATGTAGCCTGGCACTGTACAGTATTAGATTCTCTCAGGCATGAGAGCTAGGCCTAGACCTTCCACTATCTGGGGGACCAGGGTACTGGATTTGTATTTGGAGTGCTATTTATGCACAAATTGGTGTGTCCCAGCTGTACAGTGGAAGTGGACAGAGTACAGGACAGAGGCAACAGCCAGGCAGACATTCCTCACTGTTAGCTTGCCCATATGCAGGTAAGAAGCCTAAAAATCAATGGGTTTAAAACAACATTCTGGCTGTAAGCTGCAATATGCACCCTGATAATGGGCCCACTGTTAGCATTTTCTCATTTAATAGCTCTAAAATAATCTCACAGAACTCTGAGTAAAGTGTATCAGGCACTCTGTCATAGTTAGGATCACTGCTTAAGGTTCATCTTGAGCTATGAAAGTTAAACATAGTGGCAGTTCTGCTCAAGATTTCTTAATACCTGCTTCTGAGGAGGAACCAACTTCAGAAGTCAACAAGAAGAAAGACATGCACATCATTTTTCAGTTGAAAAGGACTTGCAGTAAAGATGAAAGCTTGCCCTGCAAATACTTTTTCTTAAGTTACTCATTTACAGCAGAAAGGTCTGAAAACAGATTTTTAAAATTGAGAAGTGTGAAGGACGGGAATATCAACACTGAAGTATGCTTTTATTCATAGCACTGTGAACTGAAGGCCAATGTAGAGCACCTTGCTGAAAAGGAACAATGTCTCATTGCTCTACAAAGACACCGTGTCAGCTTAAGAAAACCTTATGTTGAAAGTAGAATAGCCTTTTTTTTTTTCTTTCTCTTCACAAGAACTGAGCTGCTAGGCAACATGCAACACCCAGGCTATACTGCACAGCAGAAGGCAAGAGGGCATCATAGCAGTCACTTACAGAAATAACAGGCAGTTTTAACTCCGTAACAGCTTTGCAGCTGGCAAGTAAGGCACAAGACCACATTAAACAAATGCTCCCTTTGTAAAGGCACCAGGAGCTATTATCACCAAACTCAAGTCCAATATCAAGTCCAATAAATGCAGTTAAACCTGTTTTCACCCCGTAGAGCTACAACAATACACAAGACCAAGCAGGTGACATTTTTAACCCAATTAAAACACTGCTGTTTGACTCTATAGTAGTCAAGAGACATTCAAAAGCATTGCCCAAATGATTTTATGAGTCAAACATTTTAGAATACAGGATTTCAGTGAAGTCATACATTCAAATCCTGATAGTGACTGTTAATGTGTTTTACCTAAAAACCCATATAAGGAGTTAAGTGACTAAAGATAAATACCAGCATCATCTCTCCGCTTTTGAGTAGTTGGCATATCCATATTAAAAGGTCTTAAAGCAACACCCTGAATCACAGAACAGTTGAGGTTGGAAGACTCTTGACTGACTCCAAGGATGGAGACTAAAACAGCTCTGGGCAACCTGTTCCAGTGCTCATCCATCCTCACAGTAAAGATTTTTTCGTTCAGATGTAGTTTCATGTGTTTCAACTTGTGCCCATTGCTTCTTGTTCCTGCCACAGGGCACCACTGAGAAGAGCCTGTCTCTTGCCTTCTTTGTGTCTTCACATCAGATATTTATAAACATTAACAAGTTCCCCACTGAGCCCTCTCTTCCAAACTGAACAGTCTCAGTTCTCTCAGCCTCACATGAAAGAGGCTCTAGTCCCTTAGTCATCTTACTGTCCTTTTGCTGAACTTCAGTTAACTCCCCATCTTTCTTGTCCAGGAAGAAAGAGTGGAAGTGATTTTTCCTATTTTAGAATACTTAATGAGCTGGTAGAATTTAAAGTTCTATTTAGCAGATTTGAGTCAAACCCATTGCCGTTCTGTCCAATCTACTTTTTATCTGGAGTGTATGAAATTTCATTTTGCCTTGGAGCAGAGAACAAAGTACAATTCTACCCATAATCAGGTATTTGAGGTAGTAACAGCAGACAATCCTATAAATTTTATTTCAGTCAATATTTAACACTTACACCTGGTCTGAGGACTCCAGGATAGAGGCAATACATGCATAAGAAGGAACACAACCAGGGTACCAGGTTTTGTCCCTTTCACCAAGGATATTTACTCAGATTGTTTTTCCCCTGTTCCCTGCTCTACCCATTGCCTCCATGAAACAAGCACTGTCCCAACCAACCAAGTCTAAGGAGAGTTCCTGCACTGCCCAAGGGATACAAATCCGAATCCACTCAAGCCAAAAGAGGTATTAAATCAGCCTCTAACTGCACGACAGAAGATCCACCCTTCTTCCAGGGTAAAGGGGGAAGAAGGAATGCACCACATCCACCTTGAATCTATCTGTAAAGCTGCCGAAGGCAGCCACAGGGATAAGCCCATGCTCTGTCAGGGGGTCATGGCTGGCACCTGTCCACAGATGGAGACCAGTGCTGCATAGGTGCAGTTCACCAAAGTGCCTAGGATGACTCCTGGCTTAGTACTCACAAGCTCTGTCAAGATCACAGCTCTGCCCATGAACAGTAGCTGCTAACTGCCACAGCAAGGCACCTGAGGCCTCCACGCAAGGAGCCTACACGCTTCATAGCAAAGCTCTGCACAAACTCTGCACACAGAAGTCAGACAGCCACGAGGTGGTTGCCTCAGTTTCTTTCCACAGGTCTTACCAATTTTTAGCATTAAATGGCTTTCAAGCTCACACAAGCCTTTGTAAAAACATTAAAAAGATGAAGATGCACACTGAAGCAGGCATAAATTTTGGCAGCCTTACTCATTCTTCCACAGCTGGAGTAGGGGAGAAAAATCGGAGAAGCACAGCACCATATCCAATACAGCTGCAAAGCAGGAAAGTGAGCTCTCTGCTTCAATATTAGAGACAAAAGTTTACGAGAAAGCTTATTAGAATTATTTCCCCCTCATGTGAGGTAAATGAATTTCTCAACTTGCTGATAATCAAAAGCTTACTGATTACCAATACCCAACATCCATTGCTAAATCTGATCCACATAAGCATTCCAATCATAACACAAATTTAAAACTTCACACACACACAAAAAAAAATCAGGCATCTGCAGCAGTCACATAGGAGTCAAGGCTGTCAGTAAGAACGTGACATGATGACCGTTTTAACAAGAGCAAACATTTTCATTTCATTATCAAAGCTGAGCCATATGCCTCTCAACTTTTTGCTGCAGATGATCATTTCTCAGTTTCTTATTTTCTTACATGTTTGGAGTAGAAACCTTCAGTGTGAGGAAAAGCACCAAGAAGCCCAATTATGTGAATGAGTCATACTGTCATTAAACCTCAGGGTACCAATTGGAAAACATGCTAAGCACGATTAATTGGTTCCAGAGCTTGCATTTAACTTTGAAGAAA